GATGGATTCATGAAGGCCCTGGGGGAGTTTCCGGCTGACAAGACTGGTGCTCCTGTCGAGGCTCTGGTCAAACTATGGAATGGGGAGATGACTAGGGCTGTTGACACGATCGCTCCTAAGCGTCCTCTCCCACCAGGCAGAGCCCACTCTTCCCCTTGGTATACATCTGAATTGCGGGCGATGAAGCAGGCCAGGAGATGGCTAGAGCGTAGGTGGAGGAGATCACGGGATGAATCTGACCGAACACACTTAAGAGCCCATTATCGGACCTATGATGTGGCGGTGAGGGCGGCGAAAAAGAAATTCTTCTCTGTTTCCATTGCCTCCTCAAAATGCCGTCCGGCGGAGCTTTTTCAGGTGGTACAAGGGCTGGTCCGTCCTGGCCCTAAGAAAGATCTGGTTCCACCCTTGAAGGCCTGCTGTGACGACTTTGCCAAGCAATTCAGGGAGAAAATCACTCAGATTCGTCACAAGCTAGACTCTACTAGTGATTCAGAGGCTTTTGGGGAGATACCAATGTCACCGTCTGGTCCAAAATTAATGGATGAATTTCAGTTATTGTGGCCTGATGATGTGGACAAGGTGCTTGGACGAGTACGTCCCACCACTTGCCTATTGGACCCGTGCCCATCTTGGTTAATAAACAACACAAAGCACGGGATTGGGATCTGGATCTTGGAAGTGGTTAACGCTTCTCTGAGGGAGGGTCGGGTACCTGCCCCTTTAAAGGAGCCAGTAGTTCGACCAGTCCTGAAGAAAGTGTCACTGGATCCAGAGATGGCCACTAATTATAGACCAGTGGCCAACATCCCATTTCTGGGCAAGGTGTTGGAGCGGGTGGTGGCGGGACAACTCCAAGCACTCTTGCATGAAACTGATTATCCGGACCCATTTCAGTCCGGCTTCAGCCCCGGGTATGGTACTGAATCTGCCTTGGTCGCCCTGTATGATGACCTGTGCAGGGAGTAGGACAGGGGGAGTGCATCCCTGTTGGTTCTTCTGGACCTCTCAGCGGCTTTCAATACCATCGACCATGGTATCCTTCTGGATAGGCTAGCGGGATTGGGGGTTGGAGGCACTGCTTTGCAGTGGTTCCGCTCCTATCTCAACGGCCGATTCCAGAAGGTGGTGCTGGGGGACTATGGCTCTGCGCCATGGCAGCTATGCCATGGAGTACCGCAGGGATCCATTTTGTCCCCTTTGCTGTTTAACGTCTACATGAAACCGCTGGGAGATGTCATCAGGAGGTGTGGGCTGCGGAATCATCAGTACGCTGATGATACCCAGCTCTACCTCTCATTTTCCACCAATCCAGGTGAGGCAGTGGCTGCGCTGAACCGGTGCCTGGCTGAGGTAATCGGCTGGATGAGGGCCAATAAACTGAAGCTCAATTCAGACAAGACGGAGGTCCTGTTGGTTGGCGGACTGGGCTTTGGGGAAGGTGAATTGAACCTAGTCCTGAATGGGGTTGCACTCCCTCTTAGGGACAAGGTCCGCAGCCTGGGAGTGCTCCTCAACCCTGAGCTTTCACTGGAAGCTCAGGTGACAGCGGTGGCGAGGAGCACTTTCTTTCAGCTTCGGCTGATCCATCAGCTGGAGAACGACTGCCTGGCGACAGTGACACACATGTTGGTGACTTCCCGACTTGACTTCTGTAATGCGCTCTACATGGGGCTGCCCTTGAAGATGGTCCAGATACTTCAATTGGTTCAAAATAGAGCTGCCAGGCTGCTGACGGGAACTGGGCATTATGTTCACGTGACTCCAGTTCTCCATCAGCTTCACTGGCTTCCCATTGAAGTCCGGGCCCAATTCAAGGTGTTGGTGATGACCTATAAAGCCCTTAACGGCTTGGGTCCTGGTTACCTGAAGGAGCGCTTACGTCCATATATGCCCGCCCACCCCTTGAGATCAGCGGGAGAGGCCCTTCTCCGGGAACCCTCCGTGAAGGAAATTAGGACCGTAAGTACTCGGAGGAGGGCTTTCTCTGCGGTGGTGCCCAATCTATGGAATGCATTCCCCAGAGAGGTCTGCCTGGCGCCGTCATTATTTGTTTTTCGGCGCCAGACGAAGACCTTTTTATTTAAACGTTATTTTAATTGTTAATATTATTTATTTATTTTATTCTTTGGCCAGGACGACTTAATTTATACTGTTAAATTATATTGTTTTATATGATGTTATTTATTTATGTTTGTGAGCCACCCCGAGGTTTCGGCAAATGGGGCGGCATAGAAGTTCCCTAAATAAATAATAAGTAAATATATGATTTCTCTTACCAAATAGAGTTGCTATGAAATGAGCACACACTCTTTCATCTTGTACAAACAGTGGGATGACCAATGTTGTATGCTGAGTCAGAACATGTCGAAGGTAGGTGAGCACATACTTCTTCCGTACTAGCTAAATGTTAGAAGAGGAAAATTACATCAATTAGGAAATATAAGCAAAGTTTATATTCTCATGCAAATACATATTTGTAAGTTCTTAAGTCACACTAAATTTCCTTCTGAAAAGCAGCACAAGATATAAACCCTTCCATGGCTCTGTCCCACCTCACATTTTCTAATTTATATCTCAATACACTCATGCCCGAGATCACCTTCATTCATCCAGCTCTACCACCATAAATTGTCAACAAAGGTTTTCTGCTTAAATCAATACAAACCTTTCTCTCGTTACTTCTGATGCATAGAACCGTGTCCCAAACAAGTAACATCAGTGCTCAAAACCCACCCTTCCATAAAGTCTTTGGCACAACCCCTTAGTCTCAACTTCACTTTTCCTAACAGCAATAAATGCACATTCTTCCTTCGCCTTTACTTGCCTCCCTTTCTATTGTTGGCTTTGTGCTATTTCTAGATTGTAAGCCCCTTGAAGCAGACCCTGCCCTCTTATTCTCTGTTAAGTGTAACATACATTTTAAAAGTTTCATAAATTTTAAAATACCGAAGGTTAATTCAGTGACCTCACAGGAAAACTTGGAAATCATGAGTATTATTGGATAAATGCAGCAGGAGAGTATAAATGAGCAGAAAACCATTCCTTCACACCTCACATTTGGGATGCAAGATGATTTCCTGCTAGCACCTTCACCTCATAAGCAAGTGAAAAGGTCCATGTACCATTGTTGTGTGCCATCAAGTCATCTCCAATTTATAGTTACCCTAAGAATGAGAGCCCTTCAGAATGTCCTATCTATGGCAGCCTTGCTCAGCTCTTCTATATTCAAGGCTGCAGCTTCCTTTATGGAATCAGTCCATCTTATATTCGGTCTTCCTTTTCTTCTTCTGCCTTCAACTTTTCCTAACATTATTGTCTTTCTTTTTCATGAGGTGCCCAAAGAATGACAGCCCCACCTTTGTCACTTTTACTTCTAGGGAAAGCTCTGGCTGGAATTAATCTAGGACCCACTTATTTGGCTGACAGTGCAGGATGTTTGCAAAGCTCCCCCTCAGTACCATGCTCGAATGCATCCATTTTTATCTTTTCAGCGTTCTGCATTGTCTACCTTTCACTCTCATATGCAGTGATGTAAAACAGGGTGGATGAACTTGATCATAGTCTCTGGTGAAACATCCTTACACTTGATGAACGTTGCTAGTTCCTTTATTGCTGCCCTTCCAAGTCCGTCTTCTTCAAATTTCTTGGATGCAATCTCCCTTCGAATTGACGACTGAGCCAAAGTATGTAAAACTTTCAGAATTGCATTGTCTTCATTGTTAACAGTACAGTTCTGTAATTCTGTTGCAATCCTGCATTTGCACTTTCTTTCACTTTCCTCAGGATGTGTTTCAGTTCATTGCTACTCTCTGCCAGTAATAGGGTATCATCTGCATATCTTAAATTATTGATGCCCCTTCCGCCTATTTTCAATTCTTCTGATCCTACTCCAGCTTTCCTTATGAGATGTTCTGTGTACAGATTGAACAGATAGGAAGATAAAATATACTCCTGTTGCCTACGGGAAACCATTCTGCTTCTCAATATTCTGTTCTGACAGTAGCTTCTTGTCCATGATACATCAGGACAACCAATTGGTGAAGCATCTCAATTCCTTTTAAGATCATACATAGCTTTTCGTGATCCATACAGATAAAGGCCTTGTTGTAGTTTATAAAGCATAGGCTGATCTGAAATTCTTTGATGCACTCTGATAGCCAATGTATATTTGCAAAATGACCTCTAGTGCCTCTTCCTTTTTGGAATCTGGCTTGAACACGAGGCATTTCTTGTTCCATGCAGGGTAATTCTTTTTGTTGCAACACTTTGAGAGCACCACTTCACTTGCATGTGAAATTAGCATAATGGTTCTATATTTGCTGCACTGTTTTGTATCTCCTTTTGCAGGGATCAGAATGCATATTGAACATTTTCAGTCTATAGGCTATTGTTTTGTTTTTTTCATATTTATTGGCACATTCTTCTTAGAGTTGAACCAATTCAATCTCTGCAACTTGGAATAGTTCTAGTAGTATCCTATTTACTCCAGCTGTTTTGCTCCTTCCAAGTGCTTTCAGAGAAGCTTTCACTTGACTGACCCTGACAGAGCCAATCCAAGGACAAAATTAAATAATCTAATCAGTAGTAGCAATGGGTGACATGTACAAAGGGCAGATATACTATTACCAGATATAAGTTTATTAGTCTGTCCCTAAAATATAGACATTGACTAGATTCTGACAACAGAGTAACCCACACTCAACAATTCAGTATGGATTGACTGTGGGTTGTTCTTAAATACAGGTTGTTGCAGAAATGTGAGTTATGTTATCCAAACTCAACTGTGCTAACAAGCCATCACTTGCTCATCATAAAAAAAACCCTTATAGAAACCATGGTTAGCTGTTGGGTTGTGAACCAAGGTTTGTTATTGTGGCTGGGTTTGGACAATAGAAAAGCTATGTTCCCTCAACAATCCACACTCAACCCTTCAGTATGCATTATTGCATTGTCTAAACACGGTCATTGCTTTTGACTGCTAGTGCTAGTTCATCAGAAATCCCTTGTTGGAACTAAGAAAAAGGTCCATCTCAGCAAAGGTCTATTTATTGTTAACCAAGGCAATTAAAATAAACTCTAGCTGCCATTAATACCTATGGAATGCGCTCCACAGAGAGGTCTGCCTGGCACCGTCGTTATTTGTTTTTCGGCGCCAGGCCAAGAGCTTTTTATTTAAACAATATTTTAATTGTTAATTGTTGCTTTTATTTACTGGTTTTAAACGATTGCCGAGATGCTCCGGATTTTTAATTCTATGTTTGCTCAATCTGCTTTGTAAGCCGTCCTGAGGCTGCGATGAGGGCGGCATAAAAATGCTATAATTAATAAATAAACACAACTGGAAATTCTGACAAATTGATAAGGATTCATGGGCACCAAAATCACAAACCTTGCAAAGTTAGAGACAGAGTAATACAAACTCAAGATAATAAATTAAGCCATAATTCAGGAAATACTACAGCCACTCATTCTTCACTATAAAATGGTGCACAGTTCTATGCAAACTACCAAGAAGTGAGTTTTCTGAGTTATATTTTATGTTTGAATACTACACTGTATGAATTTTAGCATTTTTCTTATGGATAACATGGCTATTTTTCCTATTTAATGTAGAACTTAATACAGAACATGCATCATTAGGCTCACACTGTAAAACACACATTTGAGTTCATGTTGCATTATGTGAACCATGTGATTTACTTCACATATGAAAACATTCTTAGGATGCAGTTCTATGCATGTTTAAACAGGCAAACATTATAGAACTCCCAGCATAGCCCAGTCAGGCTTCTAGAACTTCTTTTGCTGTCTAAATATGATAGGATTGTGCCTGTAAGCCCATTTCCTCCTATATACATTCCTGCCTCCTATCTTTGGAACCCACACTGGTACAAAGCAGCAGCTGCACCCCAATCTGCAGGGTGCTGAGTGCCTGGAGAGAAGGCAGGACGAACACCTAGCACCTACACTAGGGGAAGGGGCAACTCTATCACTCAACAAACAGTTTCTTGCTCCCCTTGCTGCCTGATTCACCCCACCACAAAAAACAGTTCTCACACTCGAGCAGAACTCAAATTAAGATCAGCTGTAGGACTGCCTCATCATTAAACTATCCACTACGGCAGGGCTGGGCAATTAATTTTCCTATGGGGCCACATGAGAAACTTTGACTGTTGTTAAGGGCTGGACCAATACACTTACAGCTCTGCTCAATATATATATCTCTATAAAAACAGTAAATGATACATTACAATGATACAATGAAAATGTGGAGCACAGAACACTATTTAATGAATATTCACAAAAACATTAACATTACATGAAAAGCAATAAATTCAATTTAGCAGATCCTTCAAAATAAAAGCAGTGCATTTGTATTGCTTGCATCTATATTACGATGATATATATTTGCATTGACTTTTAATTTGCCAGTGACCTCATGCAGGCCAGTCAGGGTCCGCCATCGGGCTGGATGTGGCCCGCGGGCCGTACAATGCCCAGGTCTGCTCTATGGTATCCAATCATTGTGAACAAATGGGCAAGTTTAAGAGCATGAGTTAGTTTCTCCTCCCTGGAAAAAAGGCGACAGAAGAAGCCCAACTGCGTGATGCACAAGCTCTATAAAGACACTGCCTTGAGTTTACAAGAGCTGAGCAGAGCTGTTAAGGACAGGCCATTTTGGAGGGCATTCGTTCCTACGGTCGCTATGAGAGGACAGAACTGGACAGCACAGTTGTAGGTGACCTCATGGGCTTAGGACAGAAAGGAGGCTTATGAGAAGAAACGAGACAAGGATAAAGCAGACGAGATCAAGGACCAGGTGCAGCTGAAAAAGCGCGCCACCTGGGCCGCGCCCGCGAACACACCGAAGCCCCCTCCTCTCTCAGCGTCTCAATGGCGCACGCCAGACAACTTGGCGAAGGCAGGAAGGTGAGGACCCAGCGAGCATCGTGCTGCAAGTGAAACCGCTCACAAATGAGGGACTCCACAGCCACATCCATTGCATCGCCGCCCCGCCGCTCTCCCTCAGCATGCAACCCCGAGGGAGAGCGACAACAACTTTGGCGTCTAAGGTTTGCGCAAGCGCAGTCAAAGTCTAGGTAGACTCCCTTCGAATGGAAGGATGCGTGAATCCTGATTGGGCAGAAGGGCAGCAACGAGGACTTCTTTTTAAATCAGGATTGCTCGTGAGAAGCTACAGCTGTGTATCGTATTTAACTTTCCACACCTATTCCCGCCCCGGTTTTTGATTTTATTCTAATTCATTTCTTGGATTTTTAAAGACCGTGATTCTATGCCCACTTACGTGGGAATGACTTCTATTTAACTCATTCGAACTTACTTCTGAGTAGGTATGAACAGGATTTCAATATAAAAGGGGCTTTCTTAATATATGGGGGGAATGGAAAATAAGGTATAAATTATTTAAATAAACACATGTTCCGGAAATACAGTATGATATACACCGCGATCTCAAGAAAGGTTGCTCAGAAAATCCGTTGAGTTCAGAGCGACATTCTGTAATGAGATCCGAAGCCAAAAATTACAGTGCTAACTCATTTGCTCATATATTATGAACTGCTTATTTTTGTAATAATGTTGTATTTAATATTGCATGCTGGGAGTTGTAGGACGCCTTGAACACTATTTGTAGCGAAGAGAAAGGAATTTAATAAATAAATTCTCTGCACAGGGAGAAGGGAGCCTCACTGAACTCTGCGGAGCTTACTTACCTGTAAACATGGATAGAATTGCGGTGTCAAGGGGCTAGAGATTGTGCCACTTGTATCTCTGTGTAGACACATTTCCGGGCAGAGATCCTGTGTTTAAATGACTGCAGACATTGACAAGTGAAGCCATTTCCGTTTATTGGATGCAACGCTGATTTAAATTGCACCTGGTTAATTTCTGCTAACAGTACAGGGGGAAAATTGGCAAATTATCAAAAACGAGACTGTACCTCGCAAAACACCTGCTGAGCGCTGGAGAATGACGGGATATTTGTCTTAGCGTCGACCCTACGCAATGGAAGCAGATTTTGCACCACAGAATAGCCGGCTGGGTGTGCAAAGGTTGATTGGGGCATGGAATAGGGGTATGAACCTTGAAGAGGGCAAGCGGCAGTGGGGCAACGATCAGGTAATGCATGTACCAGAACACATAGCTTGTATTCTGCCTTCTGCGTGGAATAACTGACTAAGCCCGATCTAAGTATGCATGTTCTTTCGGAAGTAAGCCGTGCTTGACGCAAGCGAAGTTACTCCCAAGTAAATACGCATAGCAAGTTTGCCGCTTAACTTCTTATATTGTATGTCCGGGTTGACTCCTGAGTCGATTTTCCTTTTGCAATCAGCCAAAGCTAGAGGTCGCAAGTGAGAGATTTTTCAAGCGAAAGGCTGTGGCAAGTCGTTTCCTGCCCTCTCCCTCCCCTTGGTAGTCACGTCACTTCCAGTCGCGCGTTTTCCTTGCGTTTCTGTGTCCGAGCGGAATTAGGCTCTTCCTCCGTGAAGCTTTCGGGCCGAGAGGGTTCTTCCAGGACAAACTGTTCACAGAGATGGTAAGTGTCGTCAAACAGAGGAGGCCAAAGAGTTGCTGGAAAGCACAATGCATCCGTTTTCTCTTGATGGGAATGTCTAGGACTGTAGGTGGCTGCACGCACGTGGTTGGGAATGAGGTTGTAACTCGTGGATGAGCAGAGATTTAGTCTTCTCCTTTCTACGCGGGCGTTAATAAAGCCTGAGCCTTGCCACGTGCTAAGAAAGGAAGAGCCAAGCCTGTTCCTTAGGGCGTGAACTACCAGTTTACAAGTTGGTGTATTTTTATATTGTGTAAGAGTAACTGTACCCTTAATAACACCTTGGTCCCAGTTGCAAGCACTCCCCTATGCATATTCAGAGTTGTTATTACATCTTATTCTCCGTGTGCTCCTGCCATTAGCGTTTCATTGACTTCCGTTCTTTGCGTTGTTCTTCCAGAACCTTTATATGAAGGATGCTCAGTTTTAGACACATGACAGCACTATTTAGAGAGGTAGGCCCAAGATCAGCCTTTTACAGCTGAGCATGTATTCGATCTTGGGCCACCTTGGCTGCAAGGCTGTTCTTTGTATTATGGAAGTATGTTCATATCTAAAAGCCATCTTCTACTAAGGGGAGGGATGAAGGTTGATTTGGCACACTTTATTGTTTATTGAAAACTAATGCCTACTTCCTGTAAACTAGTTCAGCCACATTACTCTAAAGTAGAAAAATGTTGCTATGTATCAGTGTGTACTGCTGAAATGTAGCGTGTCTTAACATGCAACTAGCAACATGCTAAAGCCATTGTGACAAAGGATGTTAGAGGAGCAGTTTTTTTTTCTTAAGTGTTTGGTAAATTGACTTAAATTTAACTATTAACCATTAGATTTAGTGAAGATGGAATTCTATAACTTTGAAGTACAGTGGTACCTCAGCTCACGAACGCCTCGGTTCACAACCAAATCAGGTTGTGAACAGAAATTAAGGCAAAATTTTGCCTCAGGGCACGAACTCCACATTGGGTGACAATCGTGCCTGTCTTCCCTGCACTGGTGCAATAGCAGTTGTGCTCGGGGGGGGGGGGGGGGGGGCGGGGTTTGCAGTCACACTCGGGCGGGGAAGAGAAGCATGATCGGGGTTGTGCGGGGGGGGTGGGTGGGGGGAGATGGCCGCAATCGCTCCCGTCTTCCATGAGCACGCCCACAATCACGCCCATCTTCCCTATGCAAGCACGATCACAGCCATCCCCCCCCCCCCAGGACAATCGCTATCGCATGATCGTCTTTTGGACTCTCCCTCCAACCAATTAACCTCCCCACCACCTCGGTTAGTGTTCTCTACTGTACTGTACAGTGCTTTGTTGTTCTTTGCTACTTTGTTTCAAATTTTTGTGATTAAAAAAATGGTTACAGAATGGATTAACCTTATTTACATTGAACCTTATGGGGAAATTTGACTTAGGTCGCGACCAATTTGGGTCACAACCAGAGTCCTGGAACAGATTACATTCATGAGCCAAGATACCACTTTAGCTGGAATAGCAAACACTTGAAGAAAATTTCATGTGTCCTAATTTTTAATTTCTTCCTATAGATTGAAGCAGAAGTAAATCCTAAAGCTTATCCACTTGCTGATGCTCTGCTAACCAAGACACTGCTGGATCTTGTACAGCAGTCCTGTAACTACAAACAGTTACGCAAAGGGGCAAATGAAGGTAAGAGCTAGTTGAACCAAATGGTTAATCTTTCCCAGGTTTATATTACCTCCTGTAGGTAAAATATTTAGAACTTTCCTCAGATCTGTTTTAACAGCCATACTTATCCTTGGTCTCCATGTCCAAGACACTAATCCCTTTTCCCCAAGTTGTAATACTGAAATAGTATAGAAACAGAGGCATAGCTCCAATATGTTTTTCTACCACAAAACAGAAACCATAAATTAAAAGAGATTTCCCCTCCATGTTGTTTCCAAATCTGCTCTCATTCAGACACTGCTATTTCAATGTGCTCTGACCAGTATAGTTTTATAGTCCTTCATACAAAATATTGATAGACTTGTAAAGCCATTTTGTTTGTATAAAGTCATTTAGATTTTTTGGGAGCTCAGATGCACTTAAGGTGGTTGGTACAATTGAGAAGTCTACAGTTGTAGCATTCTAATGGAGACACACACGTCTTGAAATGTACCTAAAAGCAAGGGATGGGAGGGAGATAGATATGTCATTTCTACCATTCCAATTAAAACTGCATCAAATGATTAGGTCCTGTAGAAGCTTGGTAATGAAAGCTTTTTTTAAAGATCTGCTATATAGATGCTGCTGAAACCAGCAGCTCGTTTGATTTTACTAAGTACCCTATTAGTCTGAGTAATTATATTGACTTTTTTCCACAGCCACTAAAACCTTGAACAGAGGAATTGCTGAATTCATTGTGATGGCTGCAGATGCTGAGCCCCTTGAGATCATCCTTCACCTTCCACTACTTTGTGAGGACAAGAATGTGCCCTATGTGTTTGTGCGGTCTAAGCAGGCCCTGGGCCGGGCATGTGGTGTGTCTCGGCCTGTAATTGCCTGTTCCATTACTATCAAAGAAGGCTCACAGCTAAAACCTCAAATTCAGTCTGTCCAACAAGCCATTGAGAGACTATTGGTCTAAATCTGACTACTTATACTAAAAATAACTCATGGAGAAAATTATTGTTTAGTTTGTACAAATGACAAGATTTAAAATTTATATAGTGTGTACTTCTAGTGTGTTTTTGTTCAGTCTGTTCTACCTGCATCAGTCATTCTTGTTTTTCAGAGTTTTTAATAAGAGAATGCTGTTGTTACTTTTCCTTCTGATGCAGAATTTCTTTCCCCAATGAGATTTAGTCAACCCCTTTTGGCGATGAACCAGCTTCATCTGAAGATGAATTTGAGTTCTAGTAAATGCAAAGCATATAATCTGGACAACATAAGGTTAGCTTACTGACCATGCTTTAAGCTACTGTATCCCTTGCTTGAGTGAAGACTAGCACCAAAGTGTAGTTCTGATACAGACTGATGTTAAGAATAGTGTAGGAAAGGGCAGATGAAATCCATGTAACAAAATGGCTAATTTTTTTAAAAAATGAATTAAATATACATTGTGTGATTCCTCGCTTATCTAGTAGCTATCAGTGTTCACATTTTCTGCACATTAAACAGGAAGGGGGAAGTAGAATGACTCATCTGTCACCTGATAGAATAAACTGTTCTTCATGAAAATGCTTAGCTACAAACAGTGCTGTTAACAATTTTTCTTATGGGGCATGGTCTCGCTTCAGTTTGGTGATAATATCCTGAGCTGCCATCAACCCACTCCTTCCTCCCAGAAAGTTCAATGTGTCAGCATATGCTGGCAGGCTGGCTTTCCTCTCACTGCTACAGCTGCACCAGTGAGGATAGAGCAAATGGAAGGGGAGACAGAGTAGCCAAAGCAAGTAAGGATAGTAAGAACCATGGAGTGCTGCACATCTTCATTGGCTTCGCCTCCTTCAGTTGGCTTAGATAAAAGAGGAACATCACCAGCAATAATAGCCAGAATCCAACAGGACAGGGAGAGACATTACCATGATAAATTGTCACCTGGGAGTTCAATATTGCCTGGATATCCATAGACAAATATTTTCTGATCTACATCAAGGCTTAACTGAGGGGAACTCTTCCCCATTACTGATTTGTTTCTATAGGCTTATGCATACCTGCAGTGAATTTAAAATCTACCTACTTCTCTGTGCTCTAGATTGAGTTTGCAGCCATTTGTGCTGGTTTACATTTAAAAGTTGCAATTGGGCCAAAACAGTAATTACAAAGGTTATTTAAGAGTTGTCCACTCTTAGCTTTAAGCATCAGGATTACATTACAGGCAGTCCCTGAGGCTACAAACAAGTTCCATTCCTGAGAAAATTGAAATTCATCTTTAAGTCAGACTTGTATTTAAGATGGCCATATTGTCAGCCCTCCACATTAATGGGGGTCGGGTATGCAGGACACCCACAAAAGTGGAAAACTGCAAATCTCTCTAGCCTTCCACCCAAACTGACCAGTGTTTCTTTTTTACAGCAAGGAAATGCTCATGAAATTTCCCTCTCTGGATGGGTGGGGGCAGGAAGCCATGCTTTGGAGGCCTCTCTTACCTTTCACTTCTCTATGGTGATAATTTGCTGCTGTATTTTTAAAAATAGGCTTTATTTATCATTAAGTATGGACTGTTCATAACCCAGGGATAGTCTGTACTGCTTTATATATGCTACATTTTCATCGAAGAAAGCAAGCTATAGATCAGTTTCAGGTTGAGCACAGCATCTTGCATCTGAAAAGAAATGGTCTAGTTTAGATATTTTGAATGTTTCAGTATTTTTAATACTTCAAAGAGTTCCTTTATTGTTATGAACTCATATTGCACTAACAAATGGCTTATTTTTGATATACAACATTTGTGCTTATAGATCTCAAAATGACAAAGAATCTAATTATACTGAAACTCGAGTAGAACACAACTTTTCCAATGAAATAATTTTCCAAAATGTTATATTGTACTATAGTGTTACAGTAGAAACAGCAAGATGAAAAAAGCAGACACAGATATACAAATTAAGTCCCATTTATTGAAAACAAGGCACACATTTTCATAATTGAATCAGAGGAGAATATTAACAAATTCTTGTGTCTGCCATTCTTCAACCTCTTAAAAAAATCCCATTCCCTTTGATTGAATTATAGTTAGAAAGGTACTTCACCTGTTTTCCTAAAATCTAACACTTAGGGAATGGATGAGCTATTAGGAGTATATAATTCAGAGCTGCTTGAAATACTTAGTCACTGCATCCAGAAGTTCCTGCTTTTTTCCACCTCCTGTCAGCTTATAAATCCTGCACACATCCTTCAGAACTGGCACAGTAAGTTTACCCAAAGTGCCTTTTTGAACATGATTCCTCAGTTCCTCCTCAGAGATTTCTATTTTGGCTTTCTTTTCAGGTTGGTCAGTGCCGTTCCCTGCTGGAAAGAGATTTTTTTTATTAATTGGTGGCTTGACATGCATTGCTATCCCTGAAATATCTCATATACTGTTCCCCAAATGACAAGCTATTCCAGAAAGCAGCCCAATCCTCCCCTTTTTAAATAAAAGTTAGCCTAATCACTGTTAATAGTTCAGCTATGTAAATTTCATTAAATTCTCAAATGCAGTGTTGTAATTTAACATGACTATCACTACAGAAAGCAGGTGGGCCAGGAACCAAAGGAATTCAACCATATTCCAGTGCAGAAGAAACAGAAAAAAAATACATCTGTTTAGTAACTACTGTCCTCTTCTGAACTTGATTGCACACCAAAATGTGGTTAGATTACTTGGCTCGTTTACCTTCTGAAGGAGAAGTTACATTTGCATACTACATATTTTTTGCAAAGTTTCCAAAAACAAACAATTATGGGATACGGTTACTTTTCTCTTTGGACTGTTCCATTACCTCACCTTTTTTCCGCTTGGCGACTTTACCATCAGGATCATAGCCTGGTGGATAAACGAGTTGTTTGAACTCCTCTGCAAGAGTACCCAATCTGGAATCCATTACCTCAACCTTGGGCACTAGAAAGATACATTCTTAGATAAGAGACTGGCTAAGAACTTAAATTATACAGAAGTAATGGTTCTACAAAGAAAAACCTATGTATAAAAATCACCTAGAGCTTTAAAGCGAGACAATTCAAGATAATTTTGAATGCAACAGAACTAGCATCTCCTAATGAATACAAATAAGGAAAGCAAAATCTGTAAAAGGAAGTTTTTAGTTGCAACAATGAAGGATTCATTCCATGTAACCCCAGATTTTTTGCAACTTAAGCAAAATTCACAGGTTTTAACAAAAGATAAGTATTGGGTTTTGGAAATATGCGAACAGTAGGGAAACATTCCAAACACAAGGAAAATGCCATCTTCGGTGCATTAAATTATTCTTACTTGTCAGATCCTCAGCCTTTTCGGGTTCCATCAGATCCAGTGCTAAAGCCTCCAGATTCATATAGTGCTGCTGTAGAACTGGATTCTCAAAACTCTCACTCCTGTTGAGGCCCAGGTGGAAAATGTTAAGAATGTGTGCATCAAGCAACTGAGACAGTGACATTGTCTTCCAAATGTACATCCTCAGATAAAAACTATACCATTTCATTAAAAAAAATTTCTTTGTACATTTATCTTCCTTGGGGAGGTGTTAGAGCGGTATCTCCGTCAGAACAAGTAGATACACAAACAAATGCAAAAGTTTATGTTTACATATTACTATTGCTCCTTTCCTTTTCATTATATCCATCAAGATGGAAAAACACCTAAGATTTTACAGTATCTTTGATACTTTCTGAAGCATTCCCTCAAATACTGGTTAATTTTTAAATGCAAGTTAGAACAAGTTAGAAGAATTCCTATAACGAAATGTATTACCATTATTTTTCTACATGACTTTGCGCAAGCTGGGAATTAAAGATCTTTCAAACATGCATAGGATTGCACTTTAAATTGGTCCTGCTGTACTCTAAGACATAGCTTTTGATCGACCAAGCTCTGTCAACTGCATGGTTTAAATAGCATCTCCAGAAGATTCACTTTATTTAGAGAAGGCCTGAATTCCACAACTTGTACGCATTTTCATACTAGGAAGCTGTAGCCACTCACAGCTTCCCAGTGCATTAACTCAGAGGACTGTCCATATCAACTCTGTTAAATTTAAAGAAATTCTTAATGCATTGTGTTTTTACACTGTCTATGGTTAAATGCTTACTCATACTTTTTACTATGAGCTTGAATTTGTTTATCACACATATCTGAATCATACTACCTCAGTCTGGGGATCTCAGTATATATTGTCTGTATTGAAACTGTCTATTTGAGATGTTAAGCTCATCCCAAGTTTAATAAAGTTAGGACTTCGCTATAACTGGGAAAATTACTTTTGAATACTGCAAAAGTTCTATATTACAGGAGATGTGCAGTGTACATGGCTCTCTACAATCCATAAAAGCATTGTCCAGAAACTGTTTGGCAAATATATGCACATTAATTTTGCATCCTTCTGGTCCCTGCTCACCTGTACTTGAACCGAAGCTTCTGGACTATTTCCTTCATTTTGTTCACTTGTTCTTCATTAGCTGTGACCTTCTCTGTAAAGTCAATTTTCCGTTTGTCATCTGCGTAAGGTAGGTAAATCAAATGAAACCCTAAGTCAAGGGAGAGAAAATATAAGGAAGGGGGAGAAAATTTACTTGAAAGTACAAATGGAAACTCGACTCTCAGTGCAAGCCCCAGACACACTGAATCATCAAATCTAAACTATTATCAACAACCTTGCCTCCACAGATCAAAACTGACAGAGTAATGCATAATTACAAAGAAATATCAGTATTAATTCATAAATGAATCAACATTGAGTGCCAATGAATGAGAATGTTTTTGAACGTATTTTTAATTATATAAATTAAAATATTTTAATATAATAGTCTGTAGGAAAAATGGCTGTAAAGAGATAGTTAATAGAGGAAGGTCATTAATGGATCAGAAAGACAATGTGATGTGTTTAAAAATATATTAGAAATAACTTAGGAAGAGGCAGACATCTTTAAATGTTTGTACTTGGCGCAATAAACCACAAAATAACGAATAATATATATGATCAAATATATTACACACCATAGATAAAAAAGGGGCTTCCACAGTGTTGATCAAATGGATCATTTACAGTAGCTAACTAGGATCTTCTACCAACAGGTAGAAGCAAGTGTGCATGGGCTGTTTTACTATACTTTTCAAATAATGTTTTCACTGCAACTGAGCTTAAAAAAATAAAGTTTCTAAATAATTTATATTCCGTATTTCATACCACAAGAATTAAATTGAGTTTATACTAGAAACAAGCATTAGTAGACATGTGGAATAAAAAAAATGCAGATTTTCAATGGGCTAGATCCAGAAAAGTTGATATTAACTTATAAAACTGGACTTTCCTACTCCTCTCCTCTATTGTGAACCCGTGTGTCTCACCCAAATTTGTTCTTCAGGGTCAGGCAGCCTCCCAAATGGTATGGCATATGGTATGGAAATCTGCAGCAGGAATGGAAAAATGGCAGCATCCAGAGAGCTGCGATATAAACCAGCCTTCCCCAAACTGGCATACTCCAGTAGTTGGACTACAACACCCATAATTACCAAGCAGCATATCTGCTTATCCAATGTACTGGCTGGTGATGATGAAAGACGTATCTCAGTATATCTGGAGAGGATCAGACTGGGAAAAGTTGGTATACATTGCTAATCTCAGCAGCTTTCGATACTATCGACCATGGTATCCTCCAGGATAGGCTGGCGGGACTGGGAGTAGGAGGCACTGCTTGGCAGTGGTTCCACTCCTATCTCGACAGCCGATTCCAGAAGATGGTGCTGGGGGACTTTGGCTCTGCGCCATGGCAGTTATGCCATGGAGTACCACAGGGTTCCATTTTGTCCTCCTTGCTATTTAATATCTACATGAAACCACTGGGAGAGGTCACCAGGAGGTTTGGGCTGCGGAGTCATCAGTATGCTGATGACACCCAGCTCTACCTCTCTTTTTCAACCGATCCAGGTGAGGCAGTGGCTGTACTGAACTGGTGCCTGGCCGAGGTAATGGGCTGGATGAGGGCCAATAAACTGAAACTCAATCCAGACAAGATGGAGGTCCTGCTGGTGGGTGGATCGAGCTCCTGGGTAGGTGACTTGGACCTTGCCCTGGACAGAGTTGCACTCCCTCTAAAGAACAGGGTCTGCAGCTTGGGAGTGCTCCTCGACCCAAAGCTGTCCTTGGAAGCTCAAGTGACTGCGGTGGTGAGGAGTGCTTTCCTTCAGCTTCGGCTAGTCCATCAGCTGCATCCCTACCAGGAGGAAGATTGCCTAGTGACAGTGACACATACATTGGTTACTTCCCAGTTGGATTTCTGCAATGTGCTCTACGTGGGGCTGCCCTTGAAGACAGTCCGGATACTTCAGATGGTGCAAAACAGAGCAGCCAGGTTGCTGAAGGGAACTGGGCGTTATTCTCATATAACCCCAGTCCTCTACCAGCTTCACTGGTTTCCCATCGAAGTCCGGGCTCAATTCAAGGTGCTGGTTATCACCTATAAAGCCCTTAACGGCTTGGGACCTGGATACCTAAAGGAACGCCTTCTTCCATATTTTCCCTCCTGCCCCCTGAGATCGGCAGCAGAAGCTCTCCTCTAGGAACCCTCTGTGAAAGACATTAGGAGGCAAAGTACCCGGAGGAGGGCTTTCTCTGTGGTGGCACCCCACCTATGGAATGCGCTCCCCAGAGAGGTCCGCCTGGCGCCGTCAGTATTTGTTTTTCGGTGCCAGGTTAAGACCTTTTTATTTCAGCAATATTTTAATCAGTTTTAATATTGTGTCTTGTATGTTTTTAACTGCAGCCAGTGTGGGTTGATAATTTATTCATATTATTTTTTATTTTATTGTATTTCATTTATGTAAGCCGTCCTGAGGCTTTCGCGACAGGATGGCATATAAATGAATGATTGAATGAATGAATGAATGAATGAATGAATGAATGAATGAATGGTCTTTAGATTATACAGTGACAAAAAAATCCAAATGCACTACAGAAATGTCAACAACTGATTACCTGGGGGAGCTGTTTGCACATTCTGCTCATCCAGCTCTTCTTCCTGAGGGACCAGAGCTATAAATCTGGGAGAATTGTTTCGACGGGCAGTGTACCTACATATGGCCATCACACCTTTCTCCAGACACTTCTTTAGCAGAGCATTAAACAGAGTAGTGCTTCCTACAAGGAAAATTCTGTATTAATTAGATTGCAGGATTCCAGTGAATGAGAGTCTTCTTTGAAAGCATTACAGCAAGCTTTCACAATCAGGTATGTCTGTAGTTGGTTACCAGGATTTTCAAACAGGTAGAGGTTCTTTTTTAAAATAATAGCCTTTTTCTGAGCAGTGGTTATAATATCATAAGCCCTTATATGCACCTTTCAAGTGATATCATGATAATCCTTACACTAGCAATGTAAGGCAGATTGCATCACTTATTTCTTTATCGTATATATATACAATGTGTTGCATTTAGAGCAGCACACAACATGGTGGACTTGATCCAGTTCAGGTACAAGCAACTCGACTGGTGGATACAGATTTACTTCCTCCAGATGTAGGCCCCTCCAATCCCCCTACACACAGGAGCAATTGCACAGTATCAGAGTACCTGCTATGCATGCAGAAGGTCCAATGTTCAATCCCAAACCTCCCCACATAAGTCAGGAAGAAATCCCATCTGCAGCACTGGACAGCCACCGCCAGCATCAACACTACTGGGCTAGATGGAATAATGGTCTGATTCAGTATAAGGCAGTTTCCTGTTTTCCCTCTGAAAAGACTACAAAGAAGATGGGAGATGCTTCTATGGGCTGTGATATACGGTTTATGGTGAATCCTCCCTAACTGGGAGGCACCCTCCATGAGCAGAGCACTGAATCTACAACAGAGTCCAACCACTTTCAGTAGGGTCTCTTACATCCCATGGATAACATTCCTCCAGGCTCTCCTATATTACACGATCCCCCAGAGTCCACACCGCTTCAATGATTCCATCAAGTCACCTCATCCTCTGCTGTCCCCTTCTTCTTTTGCCATCTATTGTTCCCAGCATTAGGCTCTTCTCCAGGGAATCCTTCCTTCTCATTAGGTGGCCAAAGTATTTGAGTTTCATCTTCAGTATCTGGCCTTCTAAAGAGCAGTCAGGGTTGATCTCCTCTAAGACTGACTGGTTTGATCTCTTTGCAGTCCAGGGGACTTGCAGGAGTCTCCTCCAGCACCACAATTCAAAGGTCTCAATTCTTTGGCGCTCAGTCTTCCTTATGGTCCAGCTTTCACAGCCATACATTGCAACTGAGAAAACCATAGCCTTGAATATGCACTTTTGTTGGCAGGGTGATGTCTCTGCTTTTTATTATGCTGTCTAGATTTGCCATAGCTTTCCTCCCCAGGAGCGTCTTTTAATTTCTTGGCTGCAGTCCCCATCTGCAGTGATCTTGGAGCCCAGAAAAATAAAATCTGTCACTACCTCCATTTATTCCCCATCTATTTGCCAGGAAGTGATAGGACCAGATGCCATGATCTTAGTTTTCTTAATGTTGAGTTTCAAGCTAACATTTGCACTCTCCTCTTTCATCCGCATCAAGAGGCGCTTTGTTCCTATTCACTTTCTACTATTAGAGTGGTATCATCTGCATATCTGAGGTTGTTGATATTTCTCCCAGCAATCTTAATGCAACTTGTGATTCATCTAGCCCCACCTTTCCCATGATGTGCTCTGCATGTAGGTTAAATAGGCAGGGTGACAATATACCACCTTTCTGAATTCTTTTCTCAATTTTGAACCAATCAGTGGTTCCGTGTCCAGTTCTCACTGTTGCTTCTTGACCAGCATATAGGTTTCTCAAGAGACAAATAAGATGGTCTGGTACTCCCTTCTCTTTAAGAACTTGCCACAATTTGTTGTGATCCACACAAAAAAGGCTTTAGCATAGTCAATGAAGCAGAAGTAGATGTTTTTCTGGAACTCCCTAGCTTTCTCCATGATCCAGCGTATGTTGGCAATTTGATCTCTAGTTCCTCTGCCTCTTCAAAACCCTGCCTGTACTCCTGGTAGTTCTCTGTCCACATACTGCTGGAGCCTAGCTTGTAGGATTTTGAGCATCACTTTGCTAGCATGTGAAATGAGTGCAATGGTGTGGTAGTTTGAACATTCTTTGGCATTGCCCTTCTTTGGAATTGGAATGTAAACTGAACTTTCCAATCCTGTGGCCAGTGTTTTCCAAGTTTGCTGGCATATTGAGTGTAGCACTTTTACCGCATCGTCTTTTAGGATTTTGAATAGCTCAGCTGGAATACTGTCACCTCCACTAGCTTTGTTCTTGCTAAGAGTTCCTAAGGCTCTTTTGACTTCACATTCCAGGATGTCTGGCTCAAGGTCAGCAGCCACCCCATCATGGTTATCAGGGACATTAAGCGCTTTCTTGTATAGTTCTTCTGTGTCATCTTGCCACCTCTTCTTAATCTCTTCTGTTAGACCTCTGTTAGATCCCTGCCATTTTGGTCCTTTATCATGCCCATCTTTGCATGAAACATTCCCTTCACATCTCCAATTTTCTTGAAGAGATCTCTGGTCCTCCCTATTCTATTGTTATCTTCTATTTCTTTACACTGTTCATTTAAGAAGGCCTTTTTATCTCTTCTGGCTATTCTGTGGAATTCTGCATTCAACTGAGCGTATCTTTCCCTTTCTCCCTTGCCTTTCACTTCCCCCCTTTCCTCAGTTATTTGTAAAGCTTCCTCAGACAGCCATTTTGCTTTCTTGCATTTCTTTTTCTTTGGGATGGTTTTAAACGCTACCTCTTGTACAATGCTGCAAACCTCCATCCATAATTCTTCAGGCACTCTGTCTATCAGATCTAATTCCTTAAATCTATTTACTCTTCCACATGGTATTTAAGATGTGCATACAAGGTTTTGTCTTGTCTCCACTGCTTAGAAACTACTAAGGTAAGTATTCAGTATTTTGGAGTTTAACAAGTCTTAATCCTGAACCCTGACACATATATGTTCAGAAGATCTTTCAGTGGATTTATTATTATCCCCCAGTTCAACAATTATTTCACTGGCAAAGATACAAGGCAGACTATCATTCCCACATATGCTTACCGCTGATCAAGGACTCATCAGGATAGATGAACTGAGCAGGCTTGATATGATGATGTCGTTTCAGCATAATTACAGGTTTGAAGCCAATCAGGTATAAGCCTGGTAAATCAAATTTCTTTGCTTCTTCTGTCTCCTCTTTCTCCAGCACAATCTGGCGGTTCCCATAGATCTAAAAAGGGAAATAGGGAGCAGTAGATACAAGAATTATAGCAATAGCAGCCACATTCATGAGCAAAGAGAAATGTGGGCCTAGTGCTTATGAAACGCAATGATCCCTACAGGAATCAGCATATTTCTCTCACCAGAGTAATTGCAACAGATAACTAATTTTGCAAATCCCAGAGTTTAACACAATATGGCCCTGCTGCTATAGCTGGGTCAGAATCTCGTTTCCCCCTCTACCACTGTTAGCCCAACCCAGATGTTTGCTGAGGAAAAAAAAAGGTAAGTAAATAAGCTTTTAACAGATGGCATCAAAAGAATCCTCAGAATCCTCAGGAGATGGTGTAGTGGCTAAGAGCATGGGGCATGGGACTGGGACTCAGACAATCTGGGTTCTAGTCCCCGCTCAGCCATGGAGCCAACTGGGTGACTTTGGACCAGTCACAGACTCTCAGCCCAACCTACCTCACAGGGTTGTTGTTGTGGGGATAAGATGGAGGAGGAGAATGATGAAAGCTGCCTTGAGCCCTTTGTAGGAAAAAGGCAGGATATAAATCGAATAAATAAATAAATAAATAAATAATTCACAATGGGACGTGGCAAGAGAAGCAGTGCTATATAGGATCATGTTAGCAGGCTTTGTAAATCATTATGTGCATTAGGACACTTCCACAAGGATTCTTCAGCTATATAAACGACTGTACAACTTCTCTGACATCGAAAATCAAGGCAGGGAGGAGATTAAGCAAATTCTGAATACCCATTACCTGAGCCCTCTTGGTGTCACTAGGGAGAAGTAAACCACCTGTCTCTCGGCTAAAGGTTCGGGTTTTCGTTTTCACTGGCTCATTAGTTTCTCTGTAAAGTTTCACTGGAGCCTGCTTGACAGCTTTCTGGACTAAGTTGAAAATGCCAACGGTAAAAAACACATCATTCCCCAGATACATATTTACCCTGTGCAGAAACAATAAATATAAATTTGAATTTTCTAAACCTCATATTGCATGTCAAATTCTGATTTAAAAAGATAAAAAGCACTGCAGAAGATTATTGTTCCAAGGCATTACCAAAGAAACTTTCCACAACTTGATAGTAATATATTAACATAAGCCCTCCCTATCACCCCCTAACAGTCCTTTGTAAGGAAAGAAGGGGGTTTTTTCTAGTAAGTCTCTGGACCACACTGCAAAAGGATGATTAGAATTTAGAATTTTTAATATATATTCACCTGGCTAAAGCTCGCTTCCTTGTCTCCTTTGCACGTACTTTTTTCATGAGGTCTTCTAACTTGCCAGATTCATCAAATTGCACTCCTAGGTCCTCATCATCTGCTGTATTAATAATGTCCCTGTAGAACAAGGAAATATCAAATCCCCCAGGCTTCTTCAGGTGCATTAAGTCAAGGTAAATACCTAGAGTAAAAGCAGAATTGGAGAAAAATAAATATCCATTTTCAATATTGTAGGGTCTACATACTGCAATTCCATCTATCTCCAATATTCACATTTAAAATGTTTTTCACTTACAAAGCCAAAACAGAGATTCTGAGAAACGAGAGGGACATATAAATATTCCTCAAAGAATCTCAAAATTTGCAGAAGTACAAAAAATAACTTTAGAAATGGGGAAAGGTAAGCCCCAAAACATTCTACTGAGGACTATGCAGGTTCAGTGGCCAGGTAATGCTGACTGATTGTTTGACAAAGAAGGTAAAGAGGAGACCAGAAACTGAGGGGGAACAGGAGACGGGAGCATGCTGCACTGTAATATGTTGTTACATATTCCACTTTTATTGGTTTCCATTTTGCAAAAATATTAAATGCTTGCAGTACAGAGGCAAGAGCATGAAGCAAAAATGACTGAGTGCATATTAGCTTTTGTAAGTCAAATACATGCAAACAGTCTGCTGGTAAGTTCCACCATCAATTTCCTCTATAATGCATTGCTCAGCTTAAATAAAATGGAATGCACAAACAAGAAAAAGTTCACCTTTTTCACACTCCTCAGGCTCCCTTCTTGTTTTTTGGGTGGATGAATCGGACTAAAATGCAGACTACAAAAAGTATTCTCTCTGCACGCTCTACTTTCTCAATTTCTATCCCACTTAGAAAAAGCCAGAAAAGAAGGTAGTACGAGTAAAAGAAGGTAATAGGAGTTGCATGCAAATATGTTCTCTCCTTCCTGTAAGCACCTTTTGTAGTAGTTTCAAGAAGCATGGGAGAAGAGCACTGAGAGAAGAGGAAGAAGAAATAATGCTGGCAACTAGGGAGCTTAATTCATGCCCACATCACAGCTTCTCTGCTCTCAACTTGATGAAGTGATACAAAACACACTGCACAGAATGAATCCTAGGAAAGTCATCTCCTCACCACACACACATGGTGAGGCCACACCTACATGAGAATCATGTACCCACTACAGGAAGTCAGTTGGTCAGTTCATATACAGTCCCATTTTTGTTCCTGTAGGTTGTGAGAACCAGAAAAGGTTTGAGCATCTCATATGTCAGGATTGCAAGAAACAGAAGCAATGAAACAACAAATGTGATCACCAAGATTAAAGCCATCTGACAACCAGTGTGGTCTAGTGACAGGACTAGGACAACATGGGTTCATCTCCTCACTCAGCCATGACAATGTTACAGGAAAATCTAGGACTGGTTGCTATCTCTCAGGCTAAACTACTTCACAAGCAAGTTTTTGTGAGAATAAAAGAGGGTGGGGCCCTAAGCTCCATGGAGGAGAATGGGATAAAAATGCAGTACATTATGCCCTATGATAACAAATTTTACTGAATCACTTGGGAGCCAGTCTTGTAAAGATGGGACTGAGCAAATACTGATTGGATTGCTGAAAGGAGGCATTTTTATTCCACCTGATACTTCACCTTTAATTTGAAGTACCAACCTGTCTCTCGAAGGTCAGCAGCTTTAGTCCTAGCAAATTTGGCTTTTGTGCTGTGTTGGGCATGAGGGTTGTCTTCATTGGTGAACAGCATGATCCTCTTGTGGCTCATCTTGAGGCGGGTATCACTGAACAGATTGGAGCAAATCCAGAGTGCCTCTCCTAATGAATAGTCAGCACTATGGCCAAATGTTTTGTTGAACAGCGCTTTCCCTTGTTCTCCCTTGTACTTGGCTAACTCTAACACTCGTTTTGCCCCTGGTGGTAAACAAGAACAAAACACCTTCAGAACTATGGGTTACTCTTTCACAAAACAAAAATGAACAAAAGAATTAATGACCACACTTCTATTCCAAACTATGAGAGGAACATTTACAGATTGTCCACCGATCTGTCTACATTGACCTGGTTTATCAACACAACAGCCCATCACAGGCAAAGTGCTGTGGTGAATTTGCATGTCCTCCTAAGCCAAACTGTTCTCCTCAGTTATTTTTCCAACAAGTCACCTTAAGAACCCATGGTCTATAGTGTGGTTTCATCTGTTTCACGCACGGAGGTTTGGAAGCTCCTCACTGTGGGCAATGGTAAGCAAGCAAGTCAACAAAAGTGGCAAAAAATTCCTTGCCACTCATGCCAAAGCCATTGCAAATGCTACTCATCACACCAATACCCAAGCAGCAAGGTGGGGTGACTCACTGGCTAGATGTCCCCTCTCCTGTGATCAGCAGCTATTCTGGCTTGATGAAGCTCTTCCTCCCTTTTCACCATTTTTCAGAGATTGTTTTTTGTTATCTCAGTTTTAACAACCATTGACAGCCCTCCAAAGCGCCCAAATGGAAAGGTGGTTCACCATCCCTTTTGTAAATCCTGTGCTGACTTTCATTCTCAAGGCTCACTTTTTGTTGCACAATTTACCCACAAGTAGACCTACAATCTAGTTCTTCTAGGATATGGTCAAAATAGTAAACAATATACCCAAATTTCAGTCACCTGCCATTTACAGTTCCCTTTTATAAATTAAACGTGCCTGAGACATAACATATACCAAAATTTGTACAACAATGGCCTGTGAGGTGTTTTGATTATCCCACACACTGAAAATGTTTTAAGGCACAAAATATCCCATGCCTTTTGAAGATACTGTGGTCAGCTTGTCTTGAATTTTAGGAAGAGATGTAAAGTTCTCCCTCACACAGAAAACTGAAATCCATTGTTAGGCTAATTAGAAGTTGATCTGGAAAGATTCAATCAAAAAAGCTAATTTTCCTATGAAAGACCATATGTTTTCTGTATGACCTGCAAAACAAATGCTAGCATTCAAAGATATGTCATTTTTTGTTACTAGCTCATGCCAGTTTAGGTTGATGTCCTGGCTTTTTGGTCCAAAAATATTGCTTTTATTGTTTCTCATTAAAAATAAAAAACTTGCTATTTGATGATTCAGAAATGCTGTTGATTACTCTATTTACAAAAATGGTGTTAACTGATTACAACAAAGGTTCCACTGTATGTATTGTGCATTTTGAGGGGTATTTTGGTATTTTTAACACACTTCATCATGATGAAAACAACCAAAAAGCAGTATTTGGAGATACTTTATAAACATATTGAAATTCAGGTTGGAGTCCAAAAATATGAAATTTATTAGGTTTTTCTAAAAACAGGAGGAATTAAATTACATAATGTATTTTGTGTTTTGCAATTCATAAGTAAAAGGCTTTGTACTAACTTGTTATGTAAATTTTTCTCATGCTGTTACCTGCAAAATATTATGTTATAATAACTACAGATCTTTTCATACCAAAAAAATCTTATTCTATAGTCTGTAAAACTGTTCTATTTTGACTAATGAATTCAGTATGCTTGCTCTATTAGCCTAATTCCAGTTTCTTTATGACTTTTAATGTTAGCTACCTGGAATGAATACAGAACATTTTGCACTGCAGCTTGAAGTGTCTGATCAGCTCTGTAAAACAGTTGCTTCCCCTGAATAGTCTGTTCAAAATTCCTTCAACATAATTTCTCCAATTAATATTGCTAAATATTTATAAAGTTCCAACTCCATGGTAGGTATTGTACAGAACATAAAACAGGATATCCTATAAAGGGGCTTAAAGCCTGGCAAAGCAAAGGTGGGGAAAAAATCTTGTCACCCTGCAGATATTTTTGGCCACAATTCCCATCCATGCTGAAGAAAACTAGTACATATTTTAGGCTAAAATGTCTGGATGCCCAAAAAGTCCAATTCTGATACAGGGTATAGTAGCATGGAAAAATATGAACAGGAAAGGGCTGCACTATAGACCAGATCTGGGCAGAAAGCAGATCTCCAGATGCTTCAATCCTGCATCCCTTATCGTTGGACATGCTGTCTGGGGCTTCCGGGAGTTGAAACCCAAAATATCTGGAGATTTAGCTTCTGTACATCGATCCTATTAACATAGTGATACATAGATTGTGAAACTGCATCTCCCACTTAAGTGAAACCATTGTGAAGAAACAATCTCTCTCTCAAGCACCTGTATGTTTAATGTGTCAAAACAAGGATTTCAGAAAGGGATTGTTGAAGGCACAGTAGGTATCTTGCAAACTGCTACCATAAAACTAGTTCATCACAACATGAAATATAAGATGGATCAGCCTACCTCAAGACTGCATCAACCCACAGAGGCAACAGAGTCAGCCATGTCTATCCAGAAAAGTTGTGTCTGAAAGAAATCTTGACTGACAGCCAAGGGAAGATCCCTTCCTTCAGTTGTTTCTTTTTATAATTATATTAATAATCAACCACATACTAGACACAGTACAGAATATAAAGCAGGCTGTTAACTAGTCAATGAAAAACCACTGCTACTCAAACTATTGTGCCAGATTCCCTGCATTCTTCCTTCTTAAATAACCTTCACATCATTTTCTCTTTACCTGGACTGTCCAAATCTTGAAGAACATAAATGTGCTTAAAATCCACAGAATTTTTGTGTTCCTCAGTACCATAAAACACCACGCCAACAAGGTCCCTGTCATGGCTGATGATCTTGTTTGTGTATACATTCTGGATGCACTGGTAAGAAAATACAAGTCAGCTGGGAAAAAGAAGGAAAAGGACCACTAAAGAAAGCAAAACATTCCACATCTATGCATCTTTAGAGAGGTAAGTGAGGCTAAATGTCCACAAATATTTCTATTGACTGCCACAATGTTTTGAGACATCACACCTCAATTTTACAGGTCATTTGCAGGTGAGGAAATTTAGTTAGGAAGGTACCTTGTACAGAGAGCCCCTTAATCCATCTAGTTCAGTGTTGTCTACACGAGCCCAGGATGTCTGCCCAGTTGGTCCAAACTTACCCCAGTCTCAATCTTCAGCAGTGAGGTTTGAAAATTCTCCCACTGGAGCCAATGTGAAGCTTTTTTTCCCCCCCAAGTCACACAGTAGCATTTCCATAGGGATAGAGGGGCACTTGAGGGGACAAAGCCAGGGAGGGAAATGTTCTCTTTTTCAGCGATACAAAGGTTTTGTATATAAATTCAGGAGCTCAAGTGACAGATCCATCAAGGCCTGCTGTGACCAATTTTACTACAGTTTGCAGATAAAATCACATGTATTTGTACCAAACTAGGCACCATAATTTTGAGAGAAACAGAGACAGATCTAGATAAGACACTAACCTGTCAAGGTACCCTGGATGTTTCAGCTTATGTTAACTAAGCATGCAGACAAGCTCCCTGAAAGTTTGAGGCCAACTACCAGTCCACAAGATCCTTGCCCTTCCTGGATGTTAAAAACCACCAGTACCAGGTTCTATTACTGGATCTTAGGAGTGGATTTGATTTAAATTGATTTAAACCACATTTTAAATAACTAGTCAGTAAGGCTAGATTTAAATCATGGTTTTCTACATAAATTGCATACATGCCTGCTTTACCCATAGGTAAAGGAACTTCATTAAAATATTCCAAGACTGGGTGCCTTTTATGGCCTGTTACCATTATAGGTTTTCTCCTTCAGGGAAAGAATAATGCAGGGGGGCAGTCTGAACATTGATGTTTGACCACATGTGTTCTAGACAATTACTGTACAGTGTTAAATGCAAAGATAAAGACAATTTGAGATAATAACAATTCCTTGGATCCATTTGAATCTAACTTTCAGCCTCAGTAAGGGATGGAAACAAACTTGCTTGCCCTGGTGGATGACTTAATACCAAGAGATGCACAAGAAGAGTATGATCTTACTACTTCTCCTCGACCTCTCAGTGGCCTTCGATATCATTTGATCATTGTATCTTTTGTTGGTCAACTTGCCACACTGGCAATGGGAGATTGGGACATTGACTTGATATAATTACTGTTCTTGTTCAATTGTTATAATATTTCTTGATTGGATTTAGGCTGGTACTCTGATATGCTTTATCCTGCTCTTTTCATTTTACGGGGGAAATGAAAGTATTCATTTAGAAACTATTTATTTAATGATTAGATTTGTTTTACTGAATTACTTCCTTAAAAATTCTGATTGTGAACAGCTCTGAAATTTTGTTTAGTTTTTTACAGCAGCATACTAGTTTAATGACTAAATAAATACTGTGTTTGTGTGAGGGAGCGAGAGAAAGAGGGATGTATGAACGATGCAGCTGGACCCCCTGCTCCCCCACCCCAACAGACATGTGTCCACTATGACGTTACCCTTGAGAGAATGCAACACTCCAACTAAAAGAGGTTTTCTACTCTGAACATTAGTGGGTCTCAAAGTAGACTTTTCCAGCAATAATAATTAGGATTATAATTAAAATTAAAAGTCTAATTTATAATTATCAGATGTTAGAGATAGAAAATAACCAAGTGCTCCACTACTGAGCAGTAACCTTCCCCTTAATTATTATTCATGATTAAAAGTTTCAGTCTTAAGCCTGTAATTCTGTCTACACTTACTGGGGTGTATACCATACCAGATCTTGTGGGTGCACACATACAGAGGATTTTCAAATTTTTAAAACTGTGTGGGATTGAGGAGCATGTTACTAAAGAGAACATCCATCATTATAAGAGTTAAACATCAATGATACAACATGAAGCCATATCTGGACACCTGTAAAACCACGGTTCAAATTCTAACTGTACTGAGAATAAGTATAAAGATGTCGTCTCCAAGCTCTTAACCTCTTCCATGTGAGAAGGGAAACCATTTGTAGAGTGTGTTGCCCTTCAAAGATATCACTCCCTTTCTGTGTAGTAGAAAGGATTTGACAGAAAATTGGAACTCAGCAGCATTTTTGTACTCAGTACAGTAAACTGTTTTTTGCTATCCCAGGGTAATGGATTTATGCAGACCATAAAACAGAAATGACAACCTTTGGTGAATAAGTTATATAAATCCTGCTCTCACACATCAGGAAATGTCAAACTATGTTAAATTTCTGAACATAACCTTACCTGGATTGTCATATCAAAAGGAGCCAAGTCACCATTATCATGAGATTCAAACATGGCTTTTGAGGCATCCACTAAAAAAACCAAAGTGTCCCGACCTGTATATATATACTCTCCTACAGAGTGGGGTGGGGGGTGGAGTTAAAAGTTGAAGTTAGTACCTCAATTAACCTCTTTACCAAATTCTTGTATTGAATTATGATGCTCAATTACCACTCACATATTCATTACATTGCACAAAAATAAACTTAGTGTAACACAGAAGAAAAAGGGTTTGCATTTTTTAATATGTTTTAACTCAGTAGTTTGCCTGAAACACGACTCATTAATCCTTGCAGTGAAGTAGTGAAGATCACTGGTACTCTTTCCAGAAGGTTGCATATAGCAGTTTGCTCTATCTTCAGAGGGTTTTCAAAATCAATGGATGAGAAATATGGCTAAGCAGTGGACACTGACTGGAAACCATAAGGACAGTCCTACATATAAAGCAGAAGCTACATCCTTTGAACACTAAACCCTTTTGCAGACAGTGCTCTTACCCATGCCTGCATCTACAGGGTTCAAAAGTCTGTTTATATATCTTTTGAAAAATTTACGGAATTGATTGCCACAAAATGTCACCATATTGCTACTAAGCTTGACAACTTTAAAGGAGGATTAGGTAAATTCATGGAAGGCTATCCCTGGCTATTCATTATGATAACTATATTTTACCTCCAGGATCAGAAGCACCATGCCTCTTAGGGCTCCTAAACCAGTGGTCAAAGACCAAATCAATTAGCTTCAATTCAGCTCTTACACATGATAAAATAATAAGTTAATTTGACCTCAGATGGCTTCTTACCAATGTTTTCAGCTTCCTCATCTTGTTCCTCCTCATCTTCATCATTGTTTTTATAGTAAGATTCCCAGTGTGACATGACTTTCACCTATCACAAAGAGAGCAAATGAAGTTATTTGACATGTACTCAAATCATGATTTGCAGAGGACAAATAGTGGAACAGAAAAGAGGAATAACGTTCATCTGTTCAAACATAACAAACTGAGTCTGATCTCTTACGCAAAGGAAAATTTGAGACTCAGTCTGTAAAATTAAACAATTACATGCTTATTAGATGTATAGTGTAAACTATTCACAATGTTAAAATTCATTCTGATTGACTAAAGGGATTCAATTCCAGCTTGCAAAAGGACACTCACTGGCCAATGAGAATCACTTTTAGTTTAAAAGCAATCCCTACCCCCACCCCACCCCCCAAAAAAACAGAGGAAAATTCAAGCTAATCCTGGTGTATTTACTCAAACCAGTAAAGTACCTCTAATCTTCACGGTAGCATGGCAAATAAACTGGCGTGCACCAAAAAATAAAAATCAAATACATGTGAAGAAACAAATTTGCTTCATTTATTCAGAATATATATCTTCTACCATGTGCAAATCAAACTTTGCCAGTTTATTGTCACTTTAGGTTGCAGAGCTTTCACTACCAAAACCCAGGTTCAATGAGCATAGCAGGCAAGGACCAAGAATTTGGAAAGTGTAAGTAAATACAGACTGGAGAATAAACCACACTAGCAAATCTTGAACTTTATATACAGATGCACACACACTAATTATTCCATATTTATTATTGAGTTGATCTGTGGCCCAACCTTCTCCAAAGCCTTGGAATACAAGTAATGTTTCAAGAATATTGAAGATTAATATATAACCCTCACACTTAGAAAAAGAACTACATACAAAATATTAAATAAACTCATTCCCTTGCCACAAATGCCAACCAAAGGCTTTCACTGCTTCCAAAAGATACTTTCAACTGCTTTTGGACATTGCATCGATAAAGCAAAGTATGTGCAAATGTCATGATCATTTCCTTCAGAATGAAGTCCAAAGGAAGAACTTGCATATCTTCACTGTCAGGAACACAAACTCCAGGTAAGAATATATCATTCAGATATTATTCATGTCAAAGAGTGGATGCTTGAACAACTCTTACATCACTAATTCTGTAGTTCTGTATTACCTGAAACTACCCTCAGACTCCTAGTTAAAAAGTCCAGTCCTAAGAAAATCTATTTAGAAATAAATCCAGGGTAAGGTCAACTGTATAGCACAGTCCTATATATGTTTACATAAGGACATATGTAAAGACAGCAGATTCTTCACTGACTTAAGACATTGCAACAAAGCAGAGCTGAAGCAGCACTTCAATTTATATTGGTTGCAGGCCTTGCAACATATTCCACTTATTTTGTAAATTGTCTTTAATGAAAATTTCACAGTTAACTAGTTTTAATAAATACTTGCAATTATTTTTACTTCAGGGTGACACTGATGACAATGAAATGCTGATGATGATGACTTTTACCCTTCCAAAAGGAAATGCCAAGATTGGTATCTTCAAGAATACCAGAGAACCACAGAAGGTTGACTTGCATGGTTCAACTGATCCATCGTAGCTCAATATTATCAGCATTGACTGGCAGTGGCATTCCAGGATTTCAAGCAGGATCTTCCCTGCTCTACCAAATAAAGCTGAGGATTGAACATGGAATCTTTCTATACACAAAAGCCATCACTAAGCCACAGCCTCTCCTGCAGGTAGCAGGGTCAGCCTTCCAGAATTCAGCCAAATGGGAATTAATGCTTTTAACTAGAAGAAAGCCCAGGCCTGGGAGCTCATGCCATCAGCTCTTGAAGGGGCCACAAACAGCTTCAAAGAATAGCTGGAGGCAGCCTTTTCCCTGGGCCTAATTTGACCCTGTGTGCCCTGAGGAAAGGCAGAGGTGAGGAAGCCAAAAGCTCTCATCACCTTGTGAAGACGTCCCTCCATCGGGCCAGGAGCTGTATCCTTTTAGCAATATATCGTTTCCTTTAGTATTTTTAAATTGAAAACGACCTCGAAGGCCTTGGCAAACAGATGATCTATAAAAGCATTAAATGCAGTAAACAAATAACGGGAGAACAATTTTTTAAATCCCTATTCAATTTCTGAGGAGTCAAAGTCCAGGGGCCCGCAGCAAGGAAGCGCCCAAATAACCAAGCAGGCAGCAGCAGCACCAAAATCAAACGCCACTTTATTCCAATAATCAGACGTCGTTGTGGTTAGAGGCCTTTAAAATGCTAAAGTGCACATGGTCCGAGTTGTTAAACGGTGCTGTTTCTTTAATATCGGCAGCGGAGACGCTGCTTTAAAGCACGGAACAGCAGCCAGACATGGGAAAAGAAGCGTATGAACATAGGAACCAGCCACGGCCCTCGGCAAGCAAATAGCCGAGCCTGCCTGTGAGCCCTTTTCCCACGCTCACCACAGTGAGATAGGCCAACGTCGGCGCGGTGCTCCCCTCCAAATTGGCCCGTCTGCGGGGCAAACTACGGCGCGCGAGAATACCGATTACCTGAACTTCTACATTACCTTACAAACCCTCCTTTCCGGTTTTACACGATCCAACACCAGAACCTGTCAATCACGACTAACGCCCGCCTCTAAAAGTAAAGTGGTCCAATGGCGATAGAGAGATAAACTGCGCCGTCTCCCAAACTCTCCGGAGAAAAATCTGAGGTCTGGATTATCCGTAAATTATCAAGAATCACGCGGGCTTCTTATATTTCTGTGGTACAGCGCTTCCTACTTCCTTCTGTTCCATCGCCAATGAAAGGGAAATGTGAAATGATTATTTTTTGCTGGCCATGATTGAGAAGTCCAGCGCCCCCGCCGCAAACCAAAAGGGAGGTTCAAAGACCGGCTTCTGCTCTCTTCAACGATCTAATGGCGGTTTAACCAGAAATCTGCCCTACAACTCCCAGCATCCCCAAGCCATGGATTTGTCCAATCTTCTTCTACAGCTGACCGAATGGGTGGCCATCACCCCATCCTATAGTAGAGAATTCCCTTGTTCACTTCTCGAGACTAAACCGGGGGAGGAAAACTTAAAGTTGAAAGGAACCAAGAAGTTCCCCCTCTCGGGTGGGATACGTTACTTTTCACATTTCCTATTTCTGAGGGATTATTTGACACCCTCAGTTTGACTCAAGAAAACTTTTACCGCGTAATTACAGATTCAAGTCACGTCCTGTAACCACGCCTACCAACCGCAATCCAACTTCTTAGAGCTCGGGAAGGCTCCCTGCTCCACCCCCCTCCCCACATTCTAGCCAATAGCAGGAGGGTGGGGGAAACGTAGGTCGCCCGCTTGGAATAACCGCGTTTGCCCCACACTAGTCCCGCCTACTAGCTGCTTAGCACCGCTTCCTCATAGAGGCGCCGTGACTGGCAAGTTGGTTCGTCTTGTGGGGGCGGCGCATGCGTGAAGCGAGCGTTCCCTCTCTCGTTACCTTCCTCCCATCTCTTCGGTCCCCTTCTGTCAGTTGGTTATCATCCGCTTAGTACGCCGGGCCGGCGAGGCTGCCCCGTTTCCTTCCCAGCCGGCGCCGGCGGCGGCGGCAAGAGCTTCGCATTACCTTCCAAGTCTTCCTGTAAGATCTCCGTCCGCCGCTCCTCTCCCGATGCCATGGACTCGCCTCCGATGCTGCACCCGGTAAAGCTCTACGTTTACGACCTGTCCAAGGGCATGGCTCGGCGCCTCAGTCCTATCATGCTTGGTAAGAGGGGAGGGATAGATGGAGACCTCCATCGCCAACGCTGTCGCCTCAGATTCTGTCACACGATGAGAGGGAGGAGGAAGCCGGTGCATTGGCCCTTCTTGTGTTAAAAGCGGGGAAGGGGAGAACCGCTTAAATCACGCGAGGCGGGAAAAGCAGGCAGGTTACTTCACTTCATCCCCAGGCTAAATAAAGGGAGAGGAGGAAACGATGCGGGGATTTCTTCTTAACAGTCCCCTCTTAGGAATGGATCCCCTGCTCCCCCCCTTCCCACGTTATGCAAGAGGCTTGTTAGGGCTTGCTGGTGACCCATGAAAGCGGTGGCTTATCTGATAATAAAACAGATGGTCTTTCAACTTTTCTCCTCACCCTCGCCACAAAGGGAAAGAGAGAGAAACTGGCGAAGGTAAGAGTTGAACCCGCAACCTTCACCACCCCTTCTTCAGCCGGGCTGTCTCTAAAGGTTGAGTGTGGATGTGACGGCCACGGGATGGATGGAGTTAAAAACAACAGCGCCGGCAGTGCTGGCTCTTTCGGCATGTTAAAAAGGAGGGAGGCGGTGTGTGTGGGGGGGTTAATATCTGTGGATGTCTCCATGCATATGGATACCCAGGAGGAAGAATCGCGGCTTCTCGTAAGGTGTGAAGACACAATCAGTTCTGACTGGGCAAAGGAAGAGGTTGGCTACTCTATATTGATCTCTCCAAAGTGTTAAAGTAGTAACGGAATAATTATTCAGCCCTCAATTGCAGGAATGTCTTGTTGCAGACATATGCAAACTTATACTCTAAATTACAGAGGTGAAACATGACCAAGGAATTGAGCAATTCACTCATTTTGTAAGGGAAGTTATCTGGTTTATAATGCTGAAGTTGAATAATATAATCTGAAATTTCAAATATAAATTGAAAAAACAGTTACAATCTCTGAGATCTTACTGCTGGCCGCAACTCCATAAACATGTGGGGATGATACCTATTAAATTCAGTGGCAGTTCAGTACACATGCATAGAGTTGTGTTGTCATTATTGTACTATTAAGAGTCTGAAGTTTGACATTTCTGTATCAAGACCATATTGAACAAAATGCCTCTTAATCCATATCATTTATTATTAGATATTTGGTCATGGAAGAATGAGTAGGCCTGGTGTATTTTAAATGCTAGCTATAAGCAGTGTGTGTGTGTATTTTTCTTTTCCTTTATGTTGTTAAACTGAGAAAGTAATGTTGTAGATGTTATGCTATGTTAATTTTCAGAAATTAAACACAAAGGCACAGAGGGTAGGAAAGTAATTGTGGTTTTAAAAAAAGATAATAAAGAGATACAAGCATTTCATAGATACATTTAGGGTGCAAACCTATGCATGCTTAGCCAGAAAAAAGTCCTACAACTTCTAGTGTTAGCCTGCTTTTCCAGTAGGTGTGTTTTTCAGATTGCACCCTGAGAATCATAGCTGAAATTTGAGTACTTACCCTGTAACATTAGTACTTGGTATAGGGATGTGTACAAAAGTTATCACTAGTCTAAATGTAATTATTTTACACAATTTTTTAACAAGACATACTGCAGAGCAATCCTAACCCACTCAAATTGCCATCTGGGAAAGGTTAGGATGTGGCAGTGATCCACCTCTGCCAGTGGAGGGTGTGGGCAGTTGCAGAGGTCCCATTTGCACCTAAAGGAAGAGTGTAAATATTCTGCAAATTGGCAGGACCTAGAAAGCAGTGGACAGTCTGCAATTTCTCTCCCCCATGTGTGCATTAGAAGCAAGGAGTTTTAAGCAATTTTTGGATACCATCAGGTCTATCTGCCATAATATGGCCACAGAAAGCCTGAAACTGACAACAACAATTTTAGACTGAGCTGCTCGGGAACCATGTTTTAAGTCTTGTTCCTTAGGTACGCCTTAGATATCCCAAAGTTTGCTTGTCCTGAAACTTCTTCCTCTTTTTCCCCTTTGTCCTAATCTATTCAATCCTTTTGCTTCCACTCTCACATGCCTCTTGCAAACTCTCACATGCTTCTCCCCCTACCTCCTTCAAACTGCTTCATAACTAATAGGTTATAAAAACATCCTGTATAGAATCCATCTTTGTAGTCCCTTTTGGGGCTACCTACATGCTGCATGTATTTCCTGTATTTCTGAATAAACTGTAATGTTCTCTTTGTTGTACTCCCCCAGCATACTTGTGTCCTCTGTTTCTATGAATACTGTGAATGAAGCAAGAATTGTTCTTGATAAAGAGTCATTCTTGAAAAGCTTAGAGAACCACAAACAGTGGTGCAATTGACTTTTTTTTAATTTGGTGCTGCTATTTTGAAGTAGAAACAAAAACTTTGACCCTCCTGAAATCAATTTAAAAAGCTAGCCATGATCTAATTAAAGTCCACTGATTGAAATGGGAGCTAAGTATACCTACCTTAGTCTGGATTCATCCCTTTATCTATCTACTAAGGTAGCTCTTGGATGCTGTTTGGGCAAACAAGTCAAATTTTGGGTTTCTTTAGAAGTAGTATGAGATATAAATCATTATTCCTAACTCATTGCATAAAGATTATTGTTCTGTTTTTGCTTTCTTACTGATACTAACAGTGCAAACTCAAATGTGAGTATGACAAAGGAATATATTACAATAACAAACAGCTCATTTAACTGTCACATAAATGCTTCCCACACTGTCACATAAATGCTTCCCACACTGAACTCTGTTCCTTTTGGATTGCTTTTGCTTTTGGATTGCAGTTGGGCAACAAAAGGAAAAAAATGCCTAACAGAGATGTACCTACGATGAATTGACACATTCCTCTTCCTATGAAAAATATTTAACAAGACACCCAAACAGCTTGAAGCCAACCTTAATACAACTTTAATACATTAAAAAGACTATATTGTGTAGAGAAATGTGCATTTTTTCTGGTTTTCTTTGCACAGCCTACACATTTTCCTTGCAAAGAATTGCTAACTTTAGGCATATTTCACTTTATTCAGTTTTCAGGTATTGTTCCCAAGGACAAAATGTTACTCCTTTCCAGATTATTTTTGTTGCTATTATGAATCTTGTGTAGAATACAGGTGAATGTCTGTGGAAATCTTTTATTTCAATATATATATATATATATATTTAAAATCCCTTTCACTGTTGTTCTGAAATGATGCAAATTAATGCATTGCATTTAATAATCTAATCCAGTTATCTAATTTAATATAGAATCCAGTTATCTAATTTAATATAATAATCTAACATGCTTGGTTAGATATGAATAAAAATACTGCATTTGACAGGGGCTTATATGATCTAATGTAGCAGAAGGATTACACTTTATGATGAATCATCATAATACAGTCTTACATATTAGATTGCTAAACTTTTTACAGCCTGCCTCCACCCATAACTTTACTAGTAATTTGCATTCTATAAGGGGAAGGTGCTGGGAAGAGAACTACCTCTCATAAGTTTTCAAAAATTACTTTGCCTGGTCATCTGATATGCACAACAGGCCAATAACTGTTTGAAGCCTAAGACTAAATTCCAAGAAGGGTAGTGCTGGGTCCTACAGCACATCTATTGTGTTGTTTCTAAAGCAAAACCCATCCAGAAAGAATGTGTCAGAAATTAGCACTGGTGTCCTCTTCAGGAAAGTCTGACACAATTCTTTATCTGTTAGCATAAACCCGAGGGATTAGAATATGCGTCATTCCTAGCTCCTGTCAGATGCCAGCTTTACCAACTGGAAGGTGGGGGGGTCTGCTTTCTTGCCTGCTCTTTTAGAAAGACAATGTTCTGATTTTGTGTGAAACTGTATTCTAAGGAAATGTGAATTAGTAGGTGTAGGAGGTAACTGTTGTCTGCAACACTCAAAGGTGCTGAAGATTCTTTTTCTTTTTCTATAAAGGTAAGCAGCTGGATGGCATCTGGTGAGTAAAACATACCTAGAATTAAGTGGTGTTTTAATATTGTGAACATCTCCACAGTTGTGTTCTATACAAAGAGTATTCCATGTGAGTTACCGAAGTACAGTTAAACATGTTTCTTCCAAAATTGGAAACTAGTACTTTAATGGTAAGAGAGCTATGTAAGGATGTATTATTATCATTATTAGGACTGCCTTGTTTAGTTTCTTAATTGATTAACTGCATTTGGATTAATTCCAAAATGTGTCTTTGATTAAATAGGTAGTATTTTAATTGTTAACTTTTAAAATAAATATGTTAAGGAAAGCTGCAAATAGTAGGCATTGTGACAGAAGCATTCTGTCTCCTTTTTCAACACATTATGCACTTCAATACATAACAGTTTTATCTATAAAACATTGTAAGTAGAACAGATGTTGCTGTCCAAAATCAGGTAAAGATCTGAGGTGTTCAAAGTGATGTACTTGGTGCCTACTTTGTATACTTTTCAGCTCCAGGTTAGGACCCTTTTATTTTCTCAATATTTTAACAGTTCAAAAAACAAGTTTGTTTTTTATATATTCCATGTTATTCTAATATGCTTTTGTACTGAATCATATAAATTTCTATTATGGTTTTGTTCTTTTAAATTGTGTTTGTGTTTTAAACTTTTGTTTAATTTTAACTTTTGTTAACTGCTCAGAGAGTCTTGGCTATTGAGCAGCATAAAAATGAAATAAATAATAAATTCCGTTTTTGTTTTTTCTGATTTTGCTAAACTGTATGATTTAGTGATATACTGAGTTTTAGACTCTGTATAAATGCTGCTCATGATCCACTTTAATCTCTGTTGTAACCTGCTCCTTATTATTCCTGTCGTTTTTCCCATTCTCCTTAGGCATACCTCCATAGTCGTCCACAGGGATGAGTTCTTCTATGGAAGTGGTGGGATCTCCAGTTGCCCACCTGTAAGTTTAACAGTATTGGACTTTTCCTCTCAGATCCTACTTCTGTTTCTTCCTTTCCCTAATTGAGTTCTTTATATATTTTTGAATTCTATGTAGAAGAATAACAAGCAGAATATTCTGTGCAGTATCGCCCCATTCTGAAAATTCAATTATATTTTAAAACCAAATTTGATTAAGTAAAGCTTTCCTGTACTTTTTGCCTTGCATTGCCTAATACCTCAAATACCTAATACCACAGCAGGTATTACCTGTATAAATAGAGGTGCCTATTAAGTTCTTAATTCATATTGAAATGTTAAATTTAAATCATATGTCTTCATAGTGACCAAAGTGAAGCCCTTAATCCCCCTTTAAATCCACAATATTTCTCCCTTTAAGGTGAGATGTGGGAAAGAATAAATCAGAGTTGAAACAAAAATTTATTTTCTTTTTTCCTTCAATCCACATTCTTAAACTAAGGTTATATAAGATTACTTCTGAAACTTGACTACCAGTACAGTCACTAGCATACTGCAGATAATCTTGATATTTTAATACCCTCCTGAATGTGTATTTTTCAGGGTGGAACACTGCTTGGGCCACCAGACTCTATCGTAGACCTGGGATGCACAGAAGTTTCAGAAGAGCTCTTCCTGGAATACTTATCCTCACTGGGAGAATCTGTGTTCCGGTGAGAGAATGCGGTTTAGTTTCTGTTCTAACATTCCATGAATAACACAACAATAGGAAAGCTTCTTGGTACAGATCCCACAAGCATGTGCTTTTTAAAAGAGGAAAGTTTATGCTTTTGAATTGGATTTATTGTAGTTATATACTCACCACTGCAAAGTTTACCTTGGAACTTTTTTGCATGAGTTGTATTTCATTATATATCACCCTATGGTGTGGATTAGGAAGATTTGATACAGAACGGACTGGTCCCTAATCTTGACCATTTGCATCCCTAGGGTATTTGGTTTGAAATATTTGGAGTCCTGAATTAATTCATTTGTGATGTGACCCACACAGAGTGCTTAATCTACAGACAGTAATAACTTGTTAATGGACTCTCTTCAATAGTTTTGAATTTAATTGAATTTACTGAAATGTATACACCCTCCCTAAAATATAGGGTAATTATTAAGGTATACTTGTTAGAACCAACACTAACAAGTACATGGTGGCATTTTTAACTGGAAAAGCAGGGAGCTTCCAGATTTTACAACAAATTGGAAGAACCCTGATGGTAGAATATCTCAAAAAGAAGAAAATGTTAGTACAGAAAAAGAAATATCTCTTTACAGAGTGACAGGCCATTAGTAACCTGCATAGCTAGATGAATACTGTGCATTTTGATAACAATAATTCAAAGTTCCATAGTGTTTCACCAGAAGTTGAATACTGGAGCATCCATCTTTTAAGCCAAGGTTAAACAGATGTCAGGCTTGTGGAATCTACTTTGCTTTTTAAATACCATGCATTCCACCAACTGGAGCCTGATGCAAAAGATGTGTAGTTAGAATTAAGAAATTCTGAGCCCAGAACTTTGTTCTGAGTTCTAAAACTGACTTAAGCCCACAGTCCTCCCATGCAAAAACATGCCTTCCTTGTTACCTAAGGTTTTTGCAAATCTGGCAAAATATGTTTTGTGTGTGGGAGGGAGAGGGGCTGCTTAGTTACTATTAAACAACTGGGAGCCAGAAACTCTTGCCAGTCCACCTTTTGCCTATCCATGATGTAGAACAGTTGCAAACTAAATCAGTGCAGCACTGAGCTGTGCCACATTCTCAGAGTTTTAAGCAGTTTTGGCATTCCAACCTGCATGTCAGCCCCTAACTTCATGTATGTGAAAGGTTCAACATTGGTTGAGTTTGAAAGGATTTTGAATGAAGAAGCCACAGGCTGGGGATACTTCATCCATTTCGTGCCTGTAGCTTCTCCTTTACTGACTCCTGCAACAAGATTCAAAATAGGTAAATATACCTTTTGACGCAACTGGGGAAAGGTAATACGGTATTGAGAAGCTGCAGAAAAGTGTTCTCCCTAATTTTAAAAAAATCCTTATCTGTACTGTGTCCCCATGAACATAACATGTACAAGCATAATCATGTGTTCACTCTAACACTCTTCAGTGTTGGAGTAGGGGAGAGCAAGGTTGCACATGCCTCCTTGGGTGCCTCTGTGTGTCAACTTCCAATGCCACGCACTAGAGGGGGAAGGTCTGAGGCAGGGAGACCACTATACTTCTGTAAGTTCCCAGCATGATTTAAATTCTTGATTACTCAATGTTCTAAATTATGCATAGAATACTCTTCCTATCAAATACATGGAGGGCAGCAGGATCTGGCAGTGGAGATGTAATGGCTGGGGGCCAGGGTGCATGATCCTGATCTTCCTTCATCCTGTGGGCAATTGAACACTAAAATAGGGTGTAGTTAACTAATAATATGACTGCTGAAATATGAATTGTTTTCTATATATACTATATTTAAGTTATTCTGATAGGTGCCCCTGAAAAAAAATGGTTGTTCTCTTTCTTGGAACATTTCTTTGTTCATTCATTCCTTTTTCTGTTTGAACTCTTCTTTTGGGCCACAGTGGAGAGTCCTATAATCTCTTTGACCATAACTGTAATACATTCAGCAATGAAGTGGCACAATTCTTGACAGGAAGAAAGATCCCTTCCTACATCACTGACCTTCCGTCTGAAGTCCTTGCAACGTGAGTTGAGTCCTCTGTTTTATAAATGCATACATACATCATATATACCTTGTTATTAGGCATGCCACATTTGAACAACTATGACTTTTTAGGAATTCTGGAAGACAATTAAAATACTGACATATCATTCAGGTGTTCCTAAACTGGCCACACTTATTTTAAAGAGAAAGCAGCTGTAGCACCCCTTTCCAGTGCTTACAAATCCACTGGGCATGATGGCTGTATCAGCTTCCATTTGAAAATTTCCTTCCATGAATTTGGTTTGCCTCCAAGTGTGGCAAACAGTAGCCAGAGAATTGTGATTTGAGACAGGAAACCAGTGTGAAGCCTCAATCTGGATCAGATTACAGGTGCAGTATGTGATTCAAAATGTTTTCCTAAATAGTCTGTAGCATCAGAGGATGCTGAACACAGTTCACAAACATTGCCTTCTCTAACAGAAACAGAGAAGTGCTGCAGCCCACTCCCATTGCAAGGGAAAGCAGGGCATAACTTTTGGCTGCAGGCAGTTGCTGCTGAAGCAACTTGCAATCAATGATGTGTGCTCCCCCGTCCTCAACAACGCTGCAGGGGATCCTAGTGCAAACACACCTTTTGGATTGCATTTATCAACTGCTTGAGATTCCAACATGTATTGTGCAAGGCAACCCAAGAATACCTACTGTTACAGCACTTCAGAGCCAAAAAACACAGGTGGAAGTCCCCAGAAAAAGAAGGCAAATGTGACAGAGAGGAGTGATTTTATGCCCCTGACAGTAGTTAAAAAGAGTTAGGGAGTGGAAGTCCTTTGCTGGCCTCTTTTATATTCCGTAAGCTTTGTACATGGCTAAGGCACTTGCACAGGCTCAGCGCATTGCATGTCCACAGAGCTGGAATTTGGTGAGTGAGCACTTCCAGTGTCTTTCTTCTCCTTTCCCACAAGTTGTTAAAGGTGGTTTTGTTTCATTATTCTTAAGATGCAGCTTTGTTTGTTTAATTTTTTAAATTGAGAAATCATTTGCATATACAATTCTGAAACAACTTAAAGAACTTCCTCTCTCTCACTTTTCTTTTATTTTCCTTGTGGCTTCAGACCATTTGGACAAGCTCTCCGGCCTCTCCTTGACTCCATCCAGATTCAGCCCCCTGGAGGAAATACTTTCAGCAGACATAATGGACAGAGCTAGCAGGCATGATGGAAAAAGCCTTGGTTCACCAGGGCATTACCTTTTTAAACTCCAGCGTACTGGATTCCTATCTTAGAATTCATGCCAGACTTATTGGCAAGATGGCATTTCAGACTTTCTAGGGAGAGTATTTCCTGGATTGCATGTGATATGATGCTACCAGAAAAAAAACCTTGTCATAAAGTCAAATAGTGTATTTACTTACAAAAGTTGTTTTTGTCTTGGTTCACTTTAAATGCTTTTTAAATAAGCCCTGCTGAGCAAGGGGCCATTAGGGAACCCTTTTCCCCAATGCAGACCAGCCTTCCCCAGCCTGGTGGTCTCCATCTGTAATTGCCAGCATCCACCAGCCAGCCATGTAGTCAAGCCCTTCTGGAGGGCGCTAGGCTGGGAAGGCTGATTAGAGTAACTTGGGTGGCATTGAGTATACTAGGTGTCACCATTCCTTGCCAGAACTGTTTATTTTCATTACCCCTTTACAGTGTATTTGTGGTTGTTATACCCAGGTATATGAGTTTTGCAGCACTGAAGTTCTAAGTACTAATCCAATATTAACTTGAATAATCTAATTTTTGTAGGAGGGGAAATAAGCTAAAAACATTCACTTTGAAATAATTTTGAGCAATGCTTCTTAAATGATAATATAGATTAGTTTCCCAGTAGCAGTATGTATAAACTATTGGGTGGGTTTTGAATTCTCAGTAAGTGAGTGCACCTCTCTTGAAGGATCTGAACTGAACCAGAGGCAGCATAGGGACTCTCTGATAGTGGGTAAAAAAACCTCTGCAAGTCATCTATTAAAGATGTCCACTATATGGGCTTGACCAATTTGGTCCATATCTTTTATCACAATTGTTTCCTTAAGAAGTCAACACTGATCTGACAGGCAATTAAATCTGAGGTAAGCTACTAATAGCCAGATAACCATGCCAGAACTAAGTTCAAAATTAATATTAATAGCAATATCTATCATTTGAGACAGAATGAATTTGAGCCTCAAACTATGCAGATACTTCAAAACTAACTTTAGACTGGTCATGTCTGTCTGTTTACAAAAATCCATGTTGGAGAACTTCCTCTTCCTGACCCCATAACACACCAGTCCCAATTTAATCAGGAGGCCTGCAGTTGCTTTCTGTAAACAAAGAGGCCTGGTCAATCTAAGTGCAGTTTTGAATTGTACTTAAACTCCTGTCTAGTTTATAAAGTTGAATCATCATCACCTATGTAGAGACAGGAGAACAGGATGTTGTGCTTTCGTTTATCTTTCCTCCTATGAGTGTCTTCAGAGACACATTCTGGGACAGGCCACTCTCTTTTGAGAATTCTCTGCAGAAGAAAGTGCAACAAAGACCTGCACTAAACTTGGCCTGGTCTGCTTCATCAGGTATGGGCAGAACAATCCTATTGCCCCAAGAAAGAGTCCACGGGGTCATAGGATTGTTTGGATCCTCAGCTCTGGAGTCAGAAAACAGTTCTGTCTCCACAAATGGGAATCCGTGCTTGGGGTGTCCTTCCCCACCACCCCTGCAGCCTTGGGAAGAACTATGCCAGCTGTGTGTCTAAGGTCATAGGAGCAACCTCATAATATGTTTAGGAGTTAGGGAAGAGAGGGGACAAGATAGGACATACCCTAGTGGCATCTCAGTTGCCTTCTCTTCGAAATGCCACAGCTGGATGGTGTAGCTGCCTTGCAAGATGGAAGAAGCACACAGGCAAAGCTGCTTCCTTCTTTATAGGATGACAGTAAACTTCCACATTTGGAAGATTACAGGCAGCCTCACTGGACGGTGCCATACTTCAATTAACCTTGAGATCTTGGAAATTTATGCCCTTTTTCTTTGAGAGCAGGTTGAGGCTTTCCCTGTGCTCCAGAAAGATACACAGTAAAAACTACTAATCCCTCTCACACTTAGCAGAAGGCGTGGAAAATTGCTTAATAAAGATATTTACTTTTAGCCTATTCTCTTTGGTATTTTGATACAGATTTCTGCCAAACCTACTAAGATGGTGTCAACAATAACCAGCAAAAAAACTATAATAAAAACATCAATATAGTAAGCCATCATTGTTTCCTTAGGAGTGTTGCTTTTGTTTCAATCTATAAGGCAACATTAAAGAGATGTGCCTTGGCATCTTTTCTAAAAGTAGTGCTGGAAACACTCATAGCAATAAGAGGAATGTATTCCCCTATTTGGGAGCAACACGGAAAAAGTCCTGTCATAGATGCCTATCAAAACTACCCTCTGGAAGTGGCAGCATCCTTGGCCACTCCTGTACATCTTAGTAATTGGACAGGTTCATAGCAAGATGGGCAGTCCCACAGATAGTCAAACCCTAAGACATTTAGATCTTTAATTTAAAAAAAATACTTGGAATTGAGCTTTAAAAACAACTGGCAATCAGTGCAGTGCAGGTCTTTCAATACTGGCTACAGCGCAGCGGCATCATGGAAGTATAAAATGCAACCCTAGCAAACAAGGTAGATTGTAATCTGGAGGCATGTTGGAACACTATAAATGGGTGTAGGTACTGCATCTCCTAGCCCACCACTGTCATTCTTTTAGCTTGCCTTTCTCCCCTTCCTGGTATGGAATAAAATAAGTTGTCCTTACAATAGCTAAGGAGTAAAGGAATGGGATAGGAGGTGCAGTGGCTGCATTCTCTCCTGCTGTCTCAAACCCTTTGAAGAAGATCTCCAGATTGCAATCAGCTACCATATGTTTTTCTACTGGGGCAGTGTTTACACCTATTTTGCTTGGTGTGACTATGTAAAAATCAAGATAACAGAGATCTGGTCCTGAATGCTTGTTTCATACATTGTTCTCTACCTGTAGAAACACATCTGGCTACCCTTCTTCTTCACCACATTAGATGTGGGTTTGTGGTAGGGCAGAAAAGTACCAGGTGTAAGTACCTTTGAAAATGCACACTTCTGACGTTTGCAAAACCACTGAGTAACTGACTTATTTAAAGTTCTTCCATTCCCACAGCCATATGCAAAACATATTTACTTCCTAGTCAGGACTGCTAAAAGCAGTGGGACATGTCATCTAGTAAAGGTGTTTATGGCATTAGAAATGCCTGCCAGTCATTCCTTTTTACTCATGTGCATCACCTAAAGCATTTCCTTCTGCTTATTTTTCTATGTGCCTTTCTTAAACTGACTAGTGCATCTGACCAGGTGGAGAAATGGATGAAATCCTGGATTTTACTTGACCATGCTTCTTAGCACTTTCCTCCCACTTGGGAAAGTGCAACATGATCTTGTCCATGTTTACTCAGAAGCAAGTCACACTTATGTGCAGTGCTCCCAAGTTTGTGTGTATAGAATTTTAGTCTTGGACATCTTCAGTGGAACTGAAGGGAGATGCTGCCTCTTGGATTATGGAACCTGTTTTGTCCTTCTTACTGTTTCCAGTAAAGACATGAGCCTTTTGCTGTTCTGTAATACACATGGGCTCTATTTTTACTTGTGTGCAATAACAATTAGAGCCTCTGCATTTATTTCAAGAGGCTTTATTTCAAGACTAGCTTTCCATTGTAGTATGTAAATTACTTGATAGTATGTTGTACTCTTTGCCAGTTAACACTATTGAGTGAGGGCATGTCATAGTCAAGGAAACAATTTTCAAAGTGATTAGAAAGGATAGCTATGTATGTACCCAGCATTCCACTCAATCCCATGTATTTGTAAGTATATAAAATTATATTATGTGTATATCTATGTAAATGTATCCACTTCCAGCCTGAAGTGGCTGACAATGGGCTGGGGAACCTAAGCAGCCCTTGTGTCAGAGCATAGGCTAGGCCCAAGTAGTGAGCTGTCATTTCTGGGGATTCCTGTTTTCATTTTATAATTAAAATAAAGCCTTTGCCAGAAACTAGATTTGTTTGTTTTATTTCAGCAGTGCTATCTTCCTGTTTGTATTCTAGAATGCTAGAAATAGCATTTAAAAGAATCAGGATCTTATTCAGTGTAGGAAACTGAGCTATGATTTTCTGGTCCCTTCCATGTCTGCAGTATCTATTTACCACACAGCTTCTGAGCAGAGAAAGCTACATGATGTTACCTGTAGCAAGAGTATGCCAACCATTGGGATTAATTTAATTGGAAGTAATTTCAGATGAGTCTACACATATTTTCTTTTTATGACCTGGGACACTTTTAAAGTATAGTTACTGTTTCCTTCACACATTTTTATGGAGGGGCCATATAATATAGTCATCCAACTGTCATATCCGCAAATTTTTCTGTTCCCTCCATCTCTTTTTCCCTTCTCAGAAAATCCCTTAAGGTAAGAGAGAACAAGTAGAATGGCTGTGCAGACTCTTTGCTGCTGTGAATTCAAAAGTGCACAACTGAGGCACAGCAGGAAGAGTTGCCTCTATGGGAAAGTGGGGGCAGTTTGGAGGATAGCACTCATCTCTCTAGCCACTTTCCACTTGTGGAACCATTGTGTGCCCTGCACAGCAGGCCTTCTAAAAAGCTTTTGCTTTCCATCCTATGCTTCCTTGTTAATAGTTTCTTTGACAAAAAGCTGTATCTGATGGTATCTCATATTTTGTATTAAAAGCAGCTCCTGGTTCCTTATATCAGCTCTCAATAACTCCTTGTTTCCTGAGGCCTTGCTTTCTCTAAAGGTGTAAGTGTTGTCCTATATGTACCACCTTCCTACAATTAGCTAATTAGTGGATTCTATTATAACAGCCTTCATGAACCTGTTGCCCTTTGGGTGCCTTAGACTTCAGCTTCCAGTATTCCTGAGTCAGCCATGCTAGGTAGGGTAATAGGAGGTGTCTAAAACATCTGGAGAGCACCTAGTTCAAGGGTCGGCAACCCACAGCTCCGGAGCCGCACGTGGCTCTTGAACCCCTCTGCTCTGCAGCTCCATCCCTCAAAATGCGCACCAGCACAGCTGCTGATCTGCTCGAAGCTCAGCAGCTAGCTAGTTAAGTAAATCAGCTAGTTAAGTAAATCGCTAAACAAATTCCTCTGCTAAACAAGCTTCCTGCAGGCTCTCATGTTACACAGCTTGGCTTGGGACCTGTCACAGTTCACAGCACTTGACTGTTTATCTGCTAATCAGTCACTAAACACACCTATATCTCCAGCACAGGGCACAGCCATCAATCTGCCCTGATTTACTGAGCTTCCCCCCTCCCCCAGGCCAACCATGGATAAACCGAAGCAAAGAAAAGTTTCTGAAGAAAACCAAACATTTTTGGTTAGATTCATTTGCTTTTACTGCTGATGGGGTTTACTTAGGGTGTTTGCTGTTTAATGCATACAGCCCTTTAGCACTGACTTTGACTCTTCAGGAAGCTGTTCTCCTATTCAAACTATATGAAAGGAGTCCCACTAGTTTATAATGTAAGATTTAAAATAAGTTTTTAGTGACTGAACAAGAGCTGCAGCTAAACCATAATGAAGATATACATAGCATTAAGGTAAAAAACAATATATGCAGTGTTATCTTCATTTTAGATGTCAAAAGGGTTTTGTGGCTGCCAGTGTTTTCTTTTGTGGGGGAAACAGGTCCAAATGGCTCTTTGAGTGTTAAAGGTTGCTGACCCCTGACCTAGTTGGAGCATATTATGCCATTTGCTTGTTTCATGTAAACAGTTAAATTTTTATCTAAGAAAATTCAAACATTATCCAAATGATTAAACGGAGCCATTTAATACTCTGAGTGTTGCAGCTTTCTATTAAAGCAGAAGTACAAATGAGGGGAAGTTTTGGTGGGGAGTGGGAGCAACAGCTTACTTTGCTTGCTTCTGCTTTTCTTGCTTGGAAAATACTTTTACAGATGCAGTAGGACTATCATGATTGTGAGTATGCATTTATATATTGTGGCTGCAATCTTGTAGGACTGTGATCCCCAGGTGATAGGTGTGAAAGGATGATTTGAAACAAGGGAGTAAAGACAGTTAAAAAGGTAACAAAGAAAATTTCTTAGCCCAAAGGAGGGGCGGGGCTAAAATCAGCACAAGGTATGGGGCAACAGGCAGGAGGACCAAATACTTCCTGATTGTTTATTGACAAGCTGGGCAGAACAAAATGAACCTATTGTAGCCCACCAGGGGCAGAGCTGGATTGGGAAGATGGTCAGGTGTTGGGGCAGTGCAGAGTAGGTAGGCGGAAAGAGTGTTAACTCTCAGTACCCTAGCCAATAAGGGGAAAAGAGAAGGGGGGGCAGGGCATATAAAATGAGATGTGAACATGTGCTCAGGTGAACAGGAAAATGGGAAGGAAACCATTTTTTTCCTGTTCCTTTCATTGCAATAAAGTTTTAAAAAGAACTCTGCATGCCTGGAATATTTTTCTCTTCTGACGGAAAGGAAAGAGTGATCATAATACAGGCACTTAATTTGCTTCAGTGCAGTTTTTTTAAAAGTGCATTAGCTAATGCATACTCTGTAAAATGGACACTTGTCTCTTCTAAAAGTTTGCTGAAAAACAGTTTCAAAACATTAGGAGTAGGAGGATGAGGTGATGAATGAAAAGTGGGCTGGGATGGCACTGCCCACACAGCCATACCACACCCTTTATCAGCAAAATGTGCATTAAAAATATTTGACACCCTGCAGTGTGGCTAGGCAATGGTGCTTTTGCTTGTAACTTATAATGGAAGAATATTGACTGGTAGTACTAGAAGCTCTGACTGGAAACACCATTGCTGAGAGCGTGGGCCTCTCTTCAAAACAAAGCAATTTCACCACCTGTAAGTTCAAAATTCTTGATTATTTCAGTATGTTTTTAGCTCTTATGGTTCTGCAAGTAAGCTTGAAAGTACAAAGCACAGGTGACACATGGGTTTGTACAGCCTCAAAAGCAATAAGGAAGGTAAGACTATTGAGTGCTCAGGGAGTGGAATGGGGGCTTCAGGAGTCAAGGTGTAGCTCCTTACCCTTTCCCACAATTAATGGAGTAAGTGGTGAACAAGAGCAAGCACATGCAAATTTTGCATAACAAGATACAGGACATTGGTTTCCTTAGTTCTGAGTTTGCACATGCAAAGAATGCCCTAAGCTTTAGACTAATGCAGCTGAAGCCCCAGCATTATCCCTTCACAAAGCTGGTTGGAGGAACACAACAGATCCCACATTCAAAAAATGTAAGGTTCTTCAGGCATGTTACTAAATATGACTGGATCTGGGTTATATATCTGTCTCAAAGAACAAAGATTAGTATATCAGACAGGCAGTGGCAAGGCAAGAAAATAATCAGAACAATAACACTTGATTTTGGCAGACCTATTACGTTTTTTTTTTCAAAACCAGACAGAACATCAACTAATTTATTACAATAGATTGCCTCTAGATGGCACTAAGGCATGAACCCTAAATGTATTCTTCAGGCCTCAGTATCTTCAGCTTTACACTAGAAGTTACATAAATCCTCAGAGCAGCTTTTAGTAAAGAATAGTGGATTCAGGAAGTATGGATTTCAGTGGACAAAAAGCGTGAGAGCATAACCCTTTCCACACCTGCCATTTCTGTTGTATCTCTGCCGGCTTTATCTGCATATCACTGAAATCCTACCCCAAACCTCCTGATAGTGCTCCCAGTAGCTTTCTGTAAATTAGGGGTGAGATATCTAGCCTGAGGACCAAATTAAATTTTGGAGATGTTCTTGGGGTCAAAGGCAAAGCAGTGGGGCAAGACAAGACAGAAATTACAAACAATACCATGCTATAGTGTAGAGCTCTTACTAAAAGTGACTGACCCTGTGTGGTGTGTTAGAGGGCTAAACTGGGACTTGGGTAATCTGAATTCTACTCCCTGCTCAGCCATGAAGGGTTCTCTGGGTGACTTTGATGGTCACTGAGTGACTTTGGGTCAGATTCTCAACCTACCCCCTTCCAGTGGTTGTTCTGAAGATAAAATGGAGGGGAGGAGGAGGGTTGTGTAAACCTTCTTGGGTTTCTTGCAGGAAAAACAGTGTGATATAATAAATCAAGAACTGTACAAAAGCTGAAAACCACCAAAGGAATGGTGTTTGGGAACAAGGAAGAGGAGGGCAGTTTGTGGCACTGGGGGTGGGGGCTGGATTTGGCCAATGGGCTTAAGTTTGCTGCTCCTTATATAGATGTAGAATAGTTGTTCCTTTTATTTATTTATTTATTTAAAACATTTCTATGCCACCCCATCGCAATAAAGCCTCTGGGCGGCTCACAAAACATCAACAAACAAACCATACAATAAAACCCCAATACAATAAAACCTCAGTGCCATTAAACCTCAATAAAACTTCTACCCTGCTACTACCAGCCAAATGAAGAGGAACAGAACTGTCATATGAATATCCCCACCCCCTTCCAGTTCACATGGGCGGCCAGAACAATACAGTGGTTGGTAGTATCAAAAGCTATCCATGCAAGAGAATCAGTGTACCTCTTTCTCAGCCATCAAGATAGCCAGAGCAGTTTCTGTGCCTGAGACCTGACTAAAATAGGTCTAAGAATGTGTCATTCAAGACCCTATGGAGTTGTACAGCCACCACACACTCAACTTGCCCACACCTTGCCCAGAAGGAGTAGATAAATATCAAAGACCAGACTCACCTTGCAGCATCTGTCTGATGTGCTCCTGCTCATCATGGAGTGATTCAAGGTGTGGCAACGGGATAAAACCCATGTCCATATGTTCTTGCACAAACTTGGACTTCCTCTGTCAGGGTGATAAAAGATGCCTGTGTTTCTCTCTCCTAGGTTACAGAGGAGCACAGGGACCCTGGTTTTCTCATTAAGTTGCTGAGCAGAGTTGGTTGCAACAGATTCCTCAGGGAATGGCTATCTGCCAGACACAACTACATTAAGCAGTAATAGCAAATTTCATTGTTGGGGCTGTAACTGTCCTTTTGCATCATTGTGAGATTTAGTACCTCTCACTTTTGGTTCTTTCAGTGGTAAGCCAATAAGGACTTGAGAGAAACCCACAGATTTCAGGTCTGAGGGATTTCTTAGAGTTTCCAGATGTTCTTTAGGGCAAAATACAAGTGTTACCAATCAGAAAGCATTAGCAAGCTGTACCCCATTTTAAGCAAGCCATTGAGATATTGAAGTGTCCAAAAATGAGCCACCAGGATGGAGAGAGGCATAGAAACAAATTCCTAAACAGAATGATTAAAAGGGCTGCGCATACAGAGAAGATTAAGGAGAGGCATAATTGTAAATCATTCAAGGGGCAAACCATTCAGCATCACAGTAGTCCAAGTCTATGCTCCAACCACTGGTGCTGAAGAGGCTGAAGTTGACCAGTTCTATGAAGACCTACAACACCTTCTAGAATTAACACCAAAAAATGATGTCTTGATCATCATGGGGGATTGGAATGCTTAAAGTAGGAAGCCAAATGATAACCAGAATAACAGGCAAGTTTGGCCTTGGAGTACAAAATGAAGCAGGACACAGGCTGGTAGAATGTTGTCAAGAGATTATGATGGTCATAGCAAACACTCTTTTCTGACTCTACACATGGACATCACCAGATGGTCAACACAGAAATCAGATTGACTATGTGCTCTGCAGCCAAAGATGGAGAAGCGCTATACCAGGGGTCCTCAAAATTTTTCAACAGGGGGCCAGTTGACAGGTGCCAGTTGTGGATGCGGGCTGCCAAGGTGGTGCCACGGAGGAGTGTGAGCCAGTGAGGGGGAGAGGCATGTGCGCACATGCAAGGCAAGGCAGGAAGGGGGGGTGCGCAGGGCGAGGCGCCGGTTTGCTCGCAAGGAGATCGTTTTTGCCAATCGAGTCCAAAACGATCTCCCCGTGAGCTAGCTGCCGCCGGGCACACTCACAGCAAGGCACCGGCTTGCTCAAGACGAGAATATTTTCTCCAAGCAAGTCCAAAATGACCTCCTCGCGAGCAAGCCACACACCTGCGTGTGCCTGTGCACATGCCCAGGGAGTGCAAACCTGTGGGGTGGGCCAGTTAAATGGGCATGGCAGGCCAGATCCGGCCCGTGGGCCTTAGTTTGAGGACCCAAGCTCTATACAGTCAGTAAAAACAAGACCAGGAGCTGACTGGCTCAAATCATGAGCTTCTCGTTGCAAAATTTAGGCTTAAGTTGAAGAAAGTAGGGAAAAGCACTAGGCCACTCAGGTATGACCTATATCATATACCAGATGAATATACAGTAGAAGTGACAAATAGATTTAAGGAATTAGATCTGAGTGCCTGAAGAACTATGGATGGAAGTTCGCAACATTGTTTAAGAGGTAGCAACTAAAACCATCCCAAAGAAAAAGAAATGCAAGAAAGCAAAATGGCTGTCTGAGGAAGCTTTACAAATAGCTGAGCAAAGAAGGGAAGCGAAAGGCAAGGGAGAAAGAGAAAGATACACCCAATTGAATGCAGAATTCCAGAGAATAGCTAGAAGAGATAAGAATGCCTTCTTAAATGAACAGTGCAAAGAAATAGAAGAAAACAATAGAACAGGGAGGACCAGAGATTTCTTCAAGAAAACTGGAAATGTGAAGGGAACATTTCATGCAAAGATGGACATGATAAAGGACCAAAATGGCAGGGACCTAACAGAGGCAGAAGAGATTAAGAAGAAGTGGCAAGATTACACAGAGGAACTATACAATAAAGAGCTTAACATGCCTGATAACCACGATGGGGTGGTCACTGACCTTGAGCCAGACATCCTGGAATGTGAAGTCAAATGGGCCTTAGGAAGTCTGAGCAAAAATAAAGTTAGTAGAGGCAACAGTATTCCAGGTGAGCTATTTGAAATCCTAAAAGACGATGCAGTAAAAGTGCTACACTCGATATGCCAGCAAATTTGGAAAACTCAACACTGGCCACAGGATTGGAAAAGTTCAGTTTATATTCCAATTCCAAAGAAGGGCAATGCCAAAGAATGTTTGAACTACCGCATCATTGCACTCATTTCACAGGCTAGCAAAGTGATGCTCAAAATCCTACAAGCTAGGCTCCAGCAGTATGTGGACAGAGAACTACCAGGAGTACAGGCAGGGTTTCGAAGAGGCAGAGGAACTAGAGATCAAATTGCCAACATACGCTGGATCATGGAGAAAACATCTACTTCTGCTTCATTGACTATGCTAAAGCCTTTGATTGTGTGGATCACATCAAACTGTGGCAAGTTCTTAAAGAGAAGGGAGTACCAGGCCATCTCATTTGTCTCTTGAGAAACCTATATGCTGGTCAAGAAGCAACAGTGAGAACTGGACACGGAACCACTGATTGGTTCAAAATTGAGAAAGGAGTTCAGCAAGGCTGTATACTGTCACCCTGTCTATTTAACTTATACAGTAGACTTGCGACTATCTGGCCTCCGTACTATCCAGCCTAGTTAAAAAATAACTATCAATGAACAGTAAAATAAGTTTAAATAATTTTTGTAAGAATTAAGCCTACGTTTTATGTTAATGTTTTATTTTAAAAGTGTATGTATTCATACTGTACAGTGTACATGATTTTATGTTTCCTGCAATTAAGTTAGACATTATAAAATTTATCTTAAAATGTGTACTATATTTTTATCCTTGGACTTACTTTTTCTGTAATAAATTTTTAAAACGTACAGTACAGAATGTAACAAACATTTATAAAGTACTGGCCTGTACTAAGAGGTGAGAAAATATGAATAAGAGCGGGTTTTGGTATAAAAAGGGTGTTTTTAATGGTATGGGTGGGGTAGGAAGTGAGCATTTATAGAACTCCGGCCTATCCGGCCTGCCCTTCCGCCACATTAGGCTGCTGGATAGTTGAGAGTCTACTGTATGCAGAGCACATCATGAGAAAGGTGGGGCTAGATTAATCACAAATTGGAATTAAGATTGCTGGAAGAAATATCAACAACCTCAGATATGCAGATGATACCACTCTAATGGCAGAAAGTGAAGAGGAACTAAAAAGCCTCTTGATGCGGGTGAAGGAGGAGAGCGCAAAAGTTGGTGTGAAACTCAACATTAAGAAAACTAAGATCATGGCATCCGGTCCTATTACTTCCTGGCAAATAGATGGGGAAGAAATGGAGGTAGTGACAGATTTTATTTTCCTGGT